AAAAGCTAGCAAGATCTCGAAGAACGACGCCGAAATCGAAGACCTCGCCACGAAGCTCCGTGCCGCCCAAAAGGACGTGCTCAAGAAGCGCAAGATCGTGGCCGCAAAGGCGCAACTCTATCAAGACCTCGAAACCGCCTCCAAGATGGAGTCGCAAGAGTTCAAGACTGTGCTTGTATGTCGAGTTTGTCTCCTAGATCGGGCTGAGTCTGACTGACTCTTCATTTTCAGAAAGAGACCAACAAGAGCAAGCTGTCGCATATCCTGAAACATCTCCAAATCATGCAGGACAACATCCAACAGGCTATCAACGAGCTGGACCAGAACACCAGCACCAAGCCCTCGCCTGAAATGCAGACCACTGTCCACATGGTCGCCTCAAGCATGATGGAAACAGTGGGAAAGGAGTTCGAGCTTACCAACCCCTACGAAGGCATTCTCGACTTCAGCCGAGACCAGGCCAGCTTCGACAAGGAGTACAAGCAGGAGATCTCTAGCATCATCGAACCGGCAAAAATGCATTGAATTTGGGCAACTGGTAAGTCGCTTTCGCAATGTCTTTTGCCAACCTGCTCAAGTATCAGTCTTAGGGAAAGCCAGCCGAAGCTACGAAGAGGCGGTATGGCAACGAGATCACGAGCATTATGACATTATACCCCGGCATGACACAGGCACTTGTATTTCAAAGATGGAGAAAAGTACCCAGATATCTCTAGCCTAGCCCGCATCAACAATGAGCTACTCCGAAATCCTGATCTAGGTTAGAAATACCACAACCTGGCGTGACTCCATGATGAGCGCATTGATGAGAGAAGTTGGTGTAAGATCCTGATCTACCCTAGGTTTTCCTTGGGATTGTGATTTGGTATAGGAAGTTGCGGCTCGCCTCAAGACTTGATTTGGAGATTTCGAGAGGAACTTTGGCTGACCAGTATAGGCGGTGCTGAGGAGAATCTCTGGCAGTGGGTTTTGTCGGGTTCGATGTAGCCTGCGAAATCGGGATGGTGCAGGACGCTGAGTTTGAAATCAGAAGGTGCGACTTCCTGAACGGGCTGCAAAGTCGTGCCCACGAAACTCGCCCACGTCATGAAGCTTTGGTCCTTCTTTCCTAATCCTTTTGGCGAGCTGGATCTGTCTGCCTGTGGCCAGAAACCTACTGTCCCCTCTGCCTTTCGTTTTCCCAATCCTGACTGAGTCCTATCCAAGCTTTCCACGATGCCCTTCCACGGTCCCAGCAAGCGGTTGCGCAAGACAATCCTAGATTCTGACGATGAGCAAGAATCGATACCGCCCAGCGACAGAAAGAAGCCAAGATCAAGCTCCGAGAGCCTTACCGATGACACAGAAGACTGTATGCTTTAAGCAGTCAACGTTGGTTACATATCACTGACCGATTTAGTGAGCGAAGAACTTGAGACAGGCTTCGAATTTGCCTTGACCGACGCTGCTATTGCAGCCCACGACGCGATCGAGCGACCCATCACTTCTGCGAGCAAAGAAATCGATCACCTCAAGATCTGCATACGCAGCTCATCCAAGAGCAGCCCATCGATTAACACGGACGACATGGTAGATCATATCGGTTTCTCGTGCAGGCAGACCCAAGCCGTCAAGCATCGCAAAGCAGCAAATTCCTGGGCATCTGCTGGATCAGAAGACGACGACCAGCTGTGGTCAGACTTTGTGGATGATGTTCAGCATGCCTATGAATCCCTGGGAATTCCCTTCGAACGACATGATCTTGTTAAGTTTTCTGGACTACTCACCTCACCCGGGTTGATTATCCTACACTACCCTCCTGCGGATCCAGAAGGAACTGTTGATCCTTTCATGCACACAATGAACCCAAGCAATATTTGTATTCACGCTCTGTTGTCAAAGATGGGCCTGGCTGGTCATTCCGATGAGGCTTTGGCTATGGCCTGGATCGAGAGGTTNTTTGTCAAAACTTCCCTCAAATGGCGGGGCGAGAACCAAACCCGGCCCTATGAAGCAGCGCATCCGTCTAAAGTTGTGGACCTCAATCTCGAGTTCCAGAAGAAGCTTATCTCCATCTCAGACTACAGCGTGCGGCTTGTCTGTGGTGGGGTTAATGTGAACGAGGCACTGAAGAGTCTGAATAAGCACAGCATCCCCTTTTCTCTATCGAGTACTCCGCTCTATGGGCAGCCATAGCATGGCACCCTGGATGTAGAGTTGCAGAGGATAACACTTTTTATGTACCATCCTGAGGGTATACTGAGAGGTATGGCTTCGAGGTTCCGCAATCTGGCCGACACCATCATGAACACTTTCTGTGCCCTAATGGGAATCAGAACAGTACGTCCGGATTTCTACGCCNNACCAAAGAAGGGTCAGGGACCAAGACCAGACCCGATAACACTCTATCCGTACTTTGTAAGCTTTTGAATGCCGAGAAACAGGGTGCACCCAGATTCGACATGGGCACAATCCCGCCCAACCTCAAGGGATACATCGAGATAGAGCAAAGGGATAATGGCCTGGTTCTGGATGAGACACATCCTGNNAGTTCTCGATCATCAGACAGCTTCATCTNNTCATGTATCTTTGAAGCATGAACCCAAATCGACAAAAGCGATTGCACTGCTCCCTGTCGCGCCGATCACGAAGGAGAACGTTAGCTATTCCACAGAAACTTACCTCATTCAAAGGCTCCGACCGCAGCAGTGCACCGTCTGCGGAAAAGTCTGCACCAGTCTANNGGAAGACTTAATTCCCACATGCAACGTCATGATACGGTCAAGCCCTATAAGTGTGCAGAGGAAAACTGTACAGCAGATTTCAGAACAACCTGGGAGCTGGACCAACACAAAATGGTTCACACAGACGAAAGACCACATGCGTGTGAAGAACCGAAGTGCGGACAGAAATTCAAGACGCCCAAAGAGCTGGCTGCCCACAAGACGTCTCACGGAAACTTTCCCATCTTGTGCCAGGAAGGTGCGTGCCAGCGCAGGTTCAGGACCGACACCGAGCTTCAAGAACATGTCTTTGTCCACGATCTCTCGATCTGTTCAGACTGTTTTGAAGGGTTCGAAGACGCCGATAGCCTTCTTGTTCATCGAAGCGTCCGGTGTGGAATTCCAGGCGATCACAGCATTGACGACGAAGAATTGCATGAGCAAGATGAAGTGGTCCAGAATGGTCGCGCCAAACAAGTCTTCATCTGCCCCGAGCCGGAGTGCTGCAGGGACTTTTGGAAGGAAAGCTTGCTCACAGAGCACAGGAAGTCTCATACTATCGCTACGCATGCATGCGTACACCCACGTTGCGGCAAGATCTACAAGACCGCCCGTGCGTTGAAGAATCATGAGGAAGCACACAATCCGAACCGTACGCGCTTTGCTTGTAAAGAGCGTGGCTGCACCAAAGAGTACTCTTCACCCAGAAACTTGGACCGCCACGTGAAGGCTAAGCATCCAGCCCCAGTCTGAGTTCATGAGCATTTACAAATTTCTGGAATGGGTCAGAAGCTGGTCATTCTGATTTGAGCTCTTTGCTTTCCTATCCATCTGCACACAGCGTTATGTCACTTGAGACAGATCTTGCAGTACAGCCTGTTGCTAGTCTTCCTCTTTTCTGGCTCTCTATGTATGGTTATACATGTACTGCTACTGGCTTGTCCCACGAATTGTGAGCTATGACACGTTTTGTTTTGTATTTGCATTTATTAGAACGGAAGTATGGTTTGGACGTTGCTATCTCACTCGGAGACCGGTGTGTATAATGGTTGTTTGTTTTAGCTTGTCAATAGCCATTCTGTATAGGTTCCTCCCGGCACCATTCGTACTCATGTTTCTAGGTTTCTACAAGGAGTGAACATTGGTCTATAACCCTCGTTGCCTAAAATTGCCTAGAAATCAGATTGCTCATCCTACTGTTATGGCATTTGAAGCGAAGTTTGTAGTGTTCTTGCTTTCTTCTGTAATTTGGAATGGTGGCACATGGTGTTGTCAATGTGATGTCAACAGAAGGTGATGCGCTATGGGCACGGATGCAGCTTGTTCGCTCCGTCCACCAGACTTTTCACGTTCACGCGTAGAGGTCCCATCCGCCAACAACAACGACATCTGCCCTGACTTGTGGCAAGATGCCGTCGGTCGCCTACCTCATAGATGGTAGGAGGTCAATGTTCATCATACCACTTGACTGACCACAGCCTGCTTGCTCGTCGAAAAGCTTGCCAGGCTCATCGACAATAGATAGATCCCATATGGTTCCCGTGTTCCTTTGTCATGCGGGTTAGCCAAGACACCAGCTCCCTATACCTCGAACGAAGCACCCACATCGCAATGGACTCGCCCGTACTCCACCGTTCGTCAAGAGATCTAAGTCGAAGAAGGCTTTATGGTCTCTGACCAAGCTTGGACATGCTACTATTTACCTGACACCTGTAAACGGCTTGGCAGTGTTTCGATATATCGAAGCGCCTATAGCCACACCATAAGGTGCTTCTTGGCATGCCGCTTACTCAACTCACCGAAGACTCCTTCCAGATAGTAGGTTTCAAAATTGATCCTAATTCATGGCCAAGACGTTTACCACAAGCCATGCCATCCGCGAAGGGAGTCCATGCCAGCCGAGCAGACCATTCCAGAACACTATTCTCGTCTGCTTGCTTCCTCGTCGGACCCACAAACCATATGCTCGTCCACAACCTATCTATCTTTAGGTAGATAGGCATGTCAACTTGTGCTTGGTTGACCAGACTTTGTGTTTGATCAACCTGGGCAGATTCGCTAAGAGGGTTGGCAAGCTGCAGCATGTCAACCTCCATGCCCGGAGTTCTTGTATAGCAGAGCTCAGCATGGCTATTTAAGCACTCGAGACTCGCCTCAATTCGTCTTCTTTCCCTTCGTCCAACATTCGCTACATTCGTTTGATCATTTCACTTCTCTCCTTGTCTGCAGCTGGCTCTGCCAAGTAACCGATTTTTTCACACATCTCTCAGAAAAGCCACTCAAACACACTCAGAAACGATGCATTTCACTACTGTTGCCGTCGCTGCCCTTACAGGATTCGCTCCTCTCATCGAGGCTCACTACACCTTCACTCAGCTTCTGGTCAATGGTGCCCCTGTTGGTAGAGACTGGCAGTACATCCGCCAGCACACCAGGGGCTACATGCCTACCAAGTACGGAGAAATTCTTGAGAATGACTTCCGTTGCAACACTGGCGCTGGATCGGGTGCCAACACCGAGGTTTACACCGTCAAGCCCGGTGATAAGATCGGAATGAAGCAAGGCTTTGGTGCGAACGGAATTGAGGTGAGAAATCAGTAGGTATAATCAATATGAGAGAGAGTTGCTGACTGTTATTTCGCTTTACAGCACCCTGGCCCCGCTCAAGTCTATCTGAGCAAGGCTCCTAGCTCAGTCAAGAGCTACGATGGCAGCGGCGACTGGTTCAAGGTCCAGCAAGACCTGCTCTGCAAGTCGGGTAATGCTCAGGCCCTCAAGACCGATGCATGGTGCATCTGGAAGAAGAACAACATCGAGTTCACTGTTCCCAGCAACATTGTAAGTGCATGATTCGTCGGTCGATAAGCTTCATACTACCCAATGCTAATTCATCTCCTTCTCACANNGCCCGACGGCGAGTACCTCGTCCGCAGCGAACACATCGCCATCCACGGTGCCCACGACAAGCAAGCCGAATTCTACTACTCCTGCGCTCAAATCAAGATTCAAGGAGGCAGCGGAAGCTCCGTCCCCACGGGTGTTAAGATCCCTGGTGTCTATAAAATCGACGACAAGGCTATCAACTTTAGCGTTTGGGGCTCTGCTACTACTTACCCTCATTTGCCTGGCCCTGCTGTCGCTGCTGGCGGTTACACAACTGGCTCTATCGATGGCACAACTACTGGTACTACTACTGCTGGTGGTGCTGCTCAGGGTGGTTCTCCTGTTGTACAGGGCGATTCCCCCGCTGTCCAGAGCGATTCCTCCGCTGTTCAGAGCGACTCTTTTGCTGTTCAGGACGATTCTTCTGCCGTCCAGAACGATTCTCCAGCCGTTCAGGGTGATTATTCCGGAGCCCAGAGCGATTCTCCTGCCGTGCAGGGCGGCTCTCCTGCCGTCCAGGGTGGCTCTCCTGCTGTCAGAGCTGGTGCTGCGGTCAACGCTGGAGCCAATGCGGGAGCCGATCCTGGAGCCTATGGCGAGGTCAAAGGTCAGACAAACGGTCAAGCAAACGGTCAGGCCAATGGTGGACAATGGTGGAAGGGTCACTGGTCGGATCACTGGTAAGGAGATAGTTGACTCTTGAGTCTGTGTTGCATGCGATGAGCCTTTCGTCTTCGTCAGAGACACACGAAGTGGCGTCAGGTCTATCGCAAATGTGGTGAGAAAATGTGTTTCTATTGGTCGCACTTGACACCTTGGTGGTCTGGACACCGATGGCTGAAATGTCGCCCGCGACATCCTGTTCGATTCATTGCTTGTTGAAGAGTTCGCTCATTCTATGTATTGCAGGTCAATAGCTAGAAGACAGAGCATGTGATCCCTTCCACTTGATTTCTCTTGATGGAGCTTTATATCGTCCTGTGGAGGCAGGAACGAAGGATACATGATAGTCAAGAGCAAAACAAAACGTACAGCAGCAGGGATTCCCACGTGGTCACCCACCGTAGTACTAATCTGCCGTTCAACTGCTTATGTATGGCAGAGCGGACGGGATGCCCAGTTTTCAGCTGACTGTGGCCGTACGTGCTTATGATCCTATCTTACAGGACCATATATGTTGATTTGTCATGATGCTTGTAAGAAAGTGATAAGAACAACCGTACTACTGTAAAGCCCAATCGAATCCTCCGGCAAAACTCTCGCGAACGAGATTTGGTGAAGTGAATACAGCCGTGAGCTGCAACAAAGTGCTGTAAACCCATCATCGCAAAGAGATGCTCTCTATGCCATCCAAAAGCGTTTGAATCTTTGTCAAGTTGCCAGACAAAGCGCTGTTGGTTTGCTATGATCGTTGGCTGGCTATAAGCCCGCTTCAAAAACCATGTACCATGAGCGTGATCGATCAAACTGATGGTATATTTCGACCAGCCAGCGCCAGCTGCTTCTTACTGATCACTTCGGTCGACGAACACATTGACCACTGCCTAGGGCCCACTCTGTTGAACATTGCCACCGTGGCCCACGACTCTGTCAATCGCCCAATTACCGCTGCCAGCAGGGACTTGAACCACATGAACGCTCGTATCTGCAAGTTGATCCTATTCTCAAGCGCCCGGGCGCTATATATATCTCCTGGAATATCTCACGCTTCCCCACCTTGACCAAATGCCTCCAGCAAAGACCAGTGGATTTTTCCACACCGAAGAGCCTCTCGACCCGGAAGAGATCACAGACATCAAAGAGATTCGCAACGGCAGAGCAGTCCTCAGGTTCGTCAACGACAAGTACAAAGGAGTACTCTCCGTCAAGATCGCCAGAGACATCAACTCTGCCAAACTCCAGCAAGTCGAGTTTTCAGCAGTGATTCTTGGTCAAAGTCAACCGGCGAAATGGTGTTGCTCAAGCGCCAAGGCACAACTCTCCAGACCGTGGTCGGCACGGAGCCCAAACAGAGCGGAGGCATTAGTGTAGGACATTGTCAGCGCGCTGCATCATAAGGGCGGTTCCTCCACCGAAGGGAAGTTTTGATCAGGTATCTCTCAATGCAAAATGGCCAGAGCCTCGACCAATCCGCTAGCTAGCACTATATGTTCGACCGCATGTTTTCAATACAAACATTCTTCTCGAACTCGCCGATCGTCTATCATCAGCGCTTTCTCGACATACGAATCGTTCGTCAAACACGCTGCAAGCATACCAATACGTCCAACAACGAGACAGTCATCTCGGCATCGTGCCCCCTAAAAGACATATCAGTTGTTACCCAATTGGAGTGCAACATACATGTAGCATGAGAAATATCAAAGAGGCGCTGAAGGTTGCGAGCTCGGATCATGGTGTTCTCCCTAGCAGATACTCTGTTGCGCGCGCAGCCATAACACGGTCGCCTCAACCCAGAGTTACAAAGGTCTGCTCTGTGTAAGTGTCATCCTCGAAACGATCTGACTGGTATGACTCCGGCAGGTCGCGAGATGTCCGATGAACACTTTCCGCGACCTCTTGGGACAGACATCAGAGCTGTTCGTCCGAACTTCTTCCAACAGTGTTGTTATCTGCATATGCTCGATGGTCTGTCGAAAGCACTAACAGCACTGCCAAATGAATATCCAAAAAGAAGAAAGGAGATTTATGATGTCTTTCGAGAGCAAGAGCACTGGGTCGTCAGTTCAAGAGCAGGAGACGTGTAGTACTAAGATACTGATTTATGGCGGAGCGGACGGGGTGCCCATTCATCGACATGAATATTTATACCATCTTACCCGCAGTGTTGTAACCATTCATTCATGCGGTCTTTCCGCTAGTATTGAGATGTGGCCGTCAAGAAGGCTTCGTCTGGCAATTTCGATACAAAAAGCACATGGCCTCTTTCTTCTAGGAGGCAAAGCTATATCACACGCAAAGACGCTGCGTTGTATGTCAAAATCCTGGATTAGTACAGGAAAATACGCCAACCTAGTATAGAGAAATGCGCCAATCTAGTACAGGGAAGTATCCCAATCTAGTATAGGACAATATCCTAATCTAGTATAGGATTTGTTTCCGTATCGAACGATACCCTTTCGACGTTGTCCTCACAACCTATCATCACTCTTCGGAAAATTACCGTCAACAACCAGCACGGTGGAAGAACAAAAGCTGAACATATATAGGAAGCATCAAAGTTGTGCATAGAGGAGTCACACCGACCCCTGGGCAGAATATTTGCTGGCCATATTCGGCCAAGAAGGTACGACAGAGAGGTGCAAAAGGTGGCATCGAGTTGTTCGATGCGAAGAGGCGCTCGCTTTGTGATCAACTAGGAACGCTGAAACGCTTCCCAAAACACTAGACATGACGCCATGCAAGACAGAATTGATTAGCAGGAGATCTGGCGAATTCTCAGCATACACGTAGAGATGTCTATCAGAGAAAGAAGGATGAAAAAGAATTAAAAAAGAACCAAGAGAAAGAAGGAAGAGAAAAAGACAACAGATTGCACATGTGAAGAGGCGAGGTGGAGGCAATTTTGAAAGAAATTAGAATCTTCATTTGAATCATTATGAAGCACCGAAAAGGTGCATTGCATGCGTGCAGTTCTTGCACGGAAAAAGGTATCGAAGAAAAATCAAAGAACCCAGGATCGGTCTACCATGCTATTATCCGAACGCCAATGTGTGCAGAGTTGATTCGTTTAGTCAACCTCCTCGACAGAGGGACCATCGTCATGGGCGGGAGCGGGGCCAGCGCCACCAGTGGGCATGCCCTCGGGGGCACCGCCACTCTGTTGGTAGAAGGCAGTCCTGTAAAGATGTTAGCACATAGTCCAGCAGCAACAGAAAAGGAATCAAACTTGCATGATGGGGTTCGCGGTTGCCTCAAGCTCCTTCTGCTGGGACTCGTACTCCTCCTTGGTGGCGGTGGTGTTGGAGTCGATCCACTCAACGGTCTCGTTGATCTTGGCTGAGAGCTTCTCCTTGTCATCGGCAGGGAGCTTCTCCTCAACCTTGGGGTCGGAGATGGTGTTCTTGAGAGAGTAGGCGTAGGACTCGAGACCGTTCTTGGCGCCGATACGGGCGGCCTCAGCCTCATCCTCCTCCTTGTACTTCTCAGCCTCGGAGAGCATGCGCTCAATCTCCTCCTTGGAAAGACGGCCCTTGTCGTTGGTGATGACGATCTTGTTGGTCTTGCCGGTACCCTTCTCAAGGGCAGAGACGTTCATGATACCGTTGGCATCAACATCGAAGGTGACCTCGATCTGGGGCACACCACGAGGGGCAGGGGGAATGCCGGTAAGCTCGAACTTGCCGAGAAGGTTGTTGTCCTTGGTGCGGGCACGCTCACCCTCGAAGACCTGGATCAAGACACCGGGCTGGTTGTCGGAGAAGGTGGAGAAGGTCTCGGACTTCTTGGTGGGGATGGTGGTGTTGCGCTTGATGAGAGCAGTCATGACACCACCGGCGGTCTCGATACCGAGAGACAACGGGGCGACGTCGAGAAGAAGGATCTCGTTGGTGGACTTGGAAGAGGTGTCACCGGAAAGGATGGCGGCCTGGACGGCAGCACCGTAGGCAACAGCCTCATCGGGGTTGATGGACTTGTTGGGTTCCTTGCCACCGAAGAAGTCGGAAACCATCTTCTGGATCTTGGGGATACGAGTGGAACCACCGACAAGAACGATCTCATTGACGGAGGACTTGTCGATCTTGGCGTCACGGAGAGTGCGCTCGACGGGCTCCATGGTGCCACGGAAGAGGTCCTGGCAGAGCTCCTCGAATCTGGCACGAGTGAGGGAGGTGTAGAAGTCGATACCCTCGAAGAGAGAGTCGATCTCGAGAGAGGTCTGAGCAGACGAAGAGAGGGTACGCTTGGCACGCTCGCAAGCAGTTCTCAGGCGGCGCAGAGCACGGGGGTTGGAAGTGAGGTCNNCTGTGAGATAGTTAGCATACAGTCTTGACAACAGTAAGATTGGAATCTGACTCGCCTTCTTATGTTTACGTTTGAACTCGTTAACGAAGTGGTTAACGAGACGGTTGTCGAAGTCCTCACCACCCAAGTGAGTGTCACCAGCAGTGGACTTGACCTCGAAGATACCCTCCTCAATGGTGAGGAGCGAGACATCGAAAGTACCACCACCAAGATCGAAGATGAGGACGTTGCGCTCACCCTCAACCTTCTTGTCAAGACCGTAGGCAATGGCAGCGGCGGTGGGCTCGTTGATGATACGGAGGACGTTGAGGCCAGCAATCAGACCGGCATCCTTGGTAGCCTGGCGCTGAGAGTCGTTGAAGTAGGCAGGGACAGTGACGACAGCGTTGTTGACGGTGCCACCAAGGTATGACTCGGCGGTCTCACGCATCTTGGTGAGGACCATGGAGGAGATCTCCTCAGGGGTGAAGGTCTTCTCCTCGCCCTTGAACTCGACCTGAACGATGGGCTTGCCACCCTTGTCGATGACCTTGAAGGGGAAGTGCTTCATGTCGGCCTGGACCTCAGCATCGGCGAACTTGCGGCCAATGAGGCGCTTGGCGTCGAAGACAGTGTTGTGAGGGTTCATGGCGACCTGGTTCTTGGCCGAGTCACCGATCAGACGCTCTGAGTCGGTGAAGGCGACGAACGAGGGAGTGGTGCGGTTACCCTGGTCGTTGGCGATAATCTCAATGCGGTCATCACGGTAGATACTGGATAGAAAAGTCAGCAAGGGTGTCAAGAAAACAGGGGCTGGAGCTTATACGAACCCGACACATGAGTAGGTGGTACCCAAATCAATACCGATAGCAGGAGCCATGATGGATGTGTTGTGAACTGAAAAAGAAGATGGGGTATCAAACAGAAGGCTTTTTGTTGACGATGTAAGAGATGTCGTCAGTCGTAAAGAAAAGTGCTTTTGATTGAGTGTGAGAGAAAGAAGTTGTGAGGTGAGGTGTGAGCAAGAGAAGTAAGTTTTATAAATGTGCGCCGTGGGCGGTTGTTGCGTTGCTTCGGACACGACCAGAATTTGCGGGTGGTTTCCATCCTCTTCTACATGTTTCCATGACTTGCCTCTGCCTTCTGGGGCCCGTCTATCTCGTCACGTTCCGTCACTTTTCACTCAATTATTGCGTCTAGGTGGTTCGGGGACCTGCTTGCAGCTTCCGGCTACTTCGACAAGGCAATTGCCGTATTTGACTCACTTTGCAGAGCACCTTCCTCACTTCTTGCGACTGCTTCAGTCTGCGTTTCGTCGCGGGGTGGTATCGAGAATGACGTTTCGAGATGGTCCAAGCGTTCATGCTTTCTGAATCATTCTGGGGCAGGGTTGCTTTGTTCCAGAGCCGTCAACAAAAAATTCATGCTGAGGTTGAACGCACAATGACGGAGTGGCAAGCTCTGAAATCGACGTCTATCAACTCAGTGAGAAGAAGAAGCAAATGCAGCAGCTCGTGTCAACGACAGGATGTCAAGTCGAACAATCAGTGTAACACAGGTGGAGTCTTCACCTCTCAGTACTTCTTCTCGATGGCGGAGGAGTTCGAGTTTGTTGAGCTCTTTCAGCACGTTTGGTTGCAGGCTTGCAAGCTCGACGCAAGCTCTAGGATATAACTCTTACTTCGAGCTCGCTTCTCCGTCAGCGAAGTTGCAGCAACGAGGAACCAGTATTTTCAAGGCCGGAAAGCTTTTGGCTGTTAAAAGAATTACAAAATGCAGTGTCCCCTTTTCGCTAAAGATGTCCTATGCGCCTATATCAAAACCCCTTTGCTTGCCTAGAGTGCGCCACAAATGCCAGAAACTCGAATGATCTGTCGTAGCCTCCCTATTCGTATGAGAAAAGCCAAGGATGGTGTTGCCTGAAACGTTTCGATCAGTCTGTTCAGGTTCTGCAGTCCTCACAGCGCCAATCGAATATCTGTCTGTCAAGACCAACGCAAGCCATATGGAACTCGCTATGCGGGCAATNGCTGTTTCGTCACTTAGCGACCCACACATGATCAGAAGGAGATGAACTTACGATGTTTCTGCAAGTAATGACCTTGCGCGATCCAGAGGCCACTTTACCGCACACACAAGCATTTGGTGCATGGTGGACACCGTCTTGCATCTCAACGTCGTCGTCATTGGTTCGATGTACGGCTGGAGAGACCTCGGCGCCTGGCTCAGTGTCGCTGTCGTCAATCATAATCACATCTAGCCTGTTATGACTTTGCTGAGCAGTTGATGGTGGGACCTGACTGGCTCCAGCTGCAATCCCATCTCTGGCCATCGAGAGATTGTTGGGTTCTCCGGTACTGTCCGCAGTAGCCTGTTCTTCCTCTGCAACCAAGCCAAGACAATAATCAATGTAGTTCTCTGGAATCAATTTCCTGGCTTTTAGCTCGGCCAACTTGGTTTTGAGTTCCTGCAAAAGATGTGGCTGTTTTAGGCGCACTGCAAACCTCCGTACGAATCGAACAACCGATTCGCAGACGTGTTTGTTCGCCAGGCTCGTTGCTTCTTCTTGCAAGTTGTCGTCGAAGAGTATCGCGAACTCTCTGGCGGCACCGGTAAGTTGGGGAAATCCTTCTACTCTATGCTTGACGCGAAGCCATGAGTCGTCTGGCTCAGCGTCACTCTCACTGAGCATCTCTCCAGGCTCCACTTCTCGTTTGGACTCTGCGCGAAAGACAGCGACGTCTGGAATATCAGGAACCTCGTATTTCTCTCGCTTTCTTGGTTGCACCTCCCGAACCTCTTCAGGTGGTCCTCTCTTTGGCTGGCGATCCGGTAGCGTCAACCTTGACTGTCCGTTAGCGGTCGGTGCTTTTAGTCGCGCAATCCCTTTCGACATGCAGCCAGGTTTGACGGTCTTGGGAAAGGTCTTGAGAGGCAGCTGTTTCCCGCTGGCCCAAGTGTTGTACCCACCTTCCAAGATGTATTTCTGCAGATCGAACGGAGTCGCTGGTTTGACCCAAGTGATCTCTCGCTCATCGCACACGTTATCGCTAGCCCGTTCATATCTCGGTGCTGAAAGATCAATCTGGACCGTACGGATGACTGAATTAGAGTCCGTCGCTACTGGTTTATGCACCTTGAAGGTGAAATGGTCATGAAAGCTCAGATAATGGAAATGAAGTCTGTCAAATGTTGGGTGAGGCAAACGGCCTGGGCAGAAGACGCAACTGAATTGTGTAAAGGCGATAGTTCTCGACCCGAGCGAACCTCCCTCAAAGACATACGTGATGTAGCAGGTTTGTGTATTGCGCGTCGTTCTGGGTCGTCGGAGTGCGTCCATACTTTCGAGCGTTTGCATGATATGATTGCACATAGCTAGCGGAGTCCCCCTTGACTTGATGACCGGAGTCCAAGAGACATCAGCTTTCAGAAGATAATCCACACTTTCGAAAGAGAGCGGCTTAGACTGGTCCTCGGGGTCATGCCGACATCGAAACAGGGTACGTCCGGCGGAAAGTGGTGAGGCAGAAAGCTGCGTCCAATACGCTCTTAGCTGAGCCTGTTCTGGATTTGAAGTCGTGTCCGAGCCGGCTTTCGGATCCAATATAGAGAACAGCTGGGAGGCGTCTTCAGAATCAAAGCAGTCAATGACCAGACTGAGTGCAGCTTGATAGTGACGTTCTTTTCTCCATCTCTTGCCGCCGTTTGTGTTATGGTTTGCCAGTTGGCTGTTAAGCATCTGCTCTTCTGTGACAATGAAGGGCTTCATATCAATGGAGAGAGCCGTTGCGCCTTTGTCATCCTTTACTTCGGTCAATTCAGCCAGATGCGAGTCGGTGTGTATAATAATGTCACTTGTGTCGATGTCGGCATTGTGGATCTGGATGTTGCATTGTACATTGCATCTAAGTCGGAGATGGTCAGGGGCAGGAAGCCACTTCGGATTCGCAGATGGTTCGGGCTTGGCAGCCAGCTTCCCCATTTTCATAATAAGTTCACCGTTGGAGGTATATCGTTTCTTGATGATACCTTTTGGATGAACTTTGAGTGTTCGCTGCATAGGTTTCGTGGCTTTGGACAGCAGGTCCATGCTAGGGAGAGATCGTGGGAGCTCATTGTTAAGAAGCATATCTGTGGCTGTGGAGTTTGAGGTGGAGTCTGGCGAATGGTTGAGAACGTTTAGATTGTGTTCATGGTGATCGAGGACTTTTCGAAGGTTTCGTTGTAGGAAGACAGGCTGTCTCCGTGTGAAGACGTCGTATACCAGGTTTGATCCGCAATATTTTCTGTAGTCGTCCACTGAGTTCATTTCTGCTGCAAGGCGAAGGCTGAGATTCGACGGTGTTGCAAGAAGTGGAAATCTGAAATGGTGTCTTCAGTCGCATCGTATCGCGTGGTTGTCGTGAGGTCGAAGAGATGATAAGAGGTTTGGCCTTAGGCAGTGCACATGATGCGCCTCAGCGCGCGCATGCAAGGGATTGTGAAGTCTTGTTGTCGGCGGCTGTTTTGAAAAGTCGCACACGTTTAGACCGTGGGGAAGGAAACCGCGATTACCGGTCGAGGCAAGAGCGAGTCTTCTAATGGACATGTAACAAGGGTGAGTGAAGGAGATGCAGAATGGTTTGTCGAAAGAGAGAAACAGACAACCTTGATATTTGTCGTTGAGATCAAGTGAGATTGAAGGTGTTGGTAGGGTCTCTTGTAGTGCCTAGGCAACCCGGCACTTTTCAGTACAGACGGAAGGCACTACCTACAGCAAAGTTACCCAAGTAGGGAAGGGACGAGCTGATCGACAGCTACCAATCTTGCATATTGAAGATAGAACGGACCGAGACAGTGAGCCCACCTTCGTGAGGGATTGTTCTTCAAGAACCTGATAATGGTCGAATAGTAACCTGCAGGAGGGAGGCTCAAGTTCAAAGGCGGTGACCCCACATGTCACCATATGCCCGCCATCACAGCGACGTCAACCATCGTCAATGCATTATCGTGTCGAGGCGAATTTATACAACTTCTTGACATCTCAACCTAAGCCTATCTTTCTTTGATCACATACCCGCCTCATCGAAATCGTACACGCCTGCCAAACGACCTTGTTTATGCTATCGAGAGCACGAAGCCTGCGTCCAACGCCAGCACATACCCGCATCGCACTCATGGCAGCCCACATCACCACCAGTGGCCACCAGAACGCCCTGTACGACTCGACCAAAACCAACGAGAAGACGCACTCAATCAAAGACCTACCAAAGTCGAACAACTTCACCACAAACCTCCCGCCAGATCAGAACTTCCCTACTCCGTCCAGTTCACATGCTGCCGAGCGAAGAGAACTTGGCCCTCGCTTGGTCAAGGGAGCCCTCTATACCTACGTTCGCCCCGATCCACCTACAAAATATGAAGTACTCGCTGTATCGCCTGCTGCACTTCAGACTCTCTCCATCGACCCATCATCAACCGACTCGCAAGACTTTCAAGACACGGTATCCGGCAACAAGATCTTGACATGGGACGAAGCAAAGGCTTCGGAATCAAACATGCTGCCAGAAGAACAACAACGACGAGAACAAATCTACCCCTGGGCACAATGTTACGGTGGTTATCAGTTCGGCCAATGGGCAGGCCAGCTGGGCGACGGCCGCGCTATTTCCTTGTTTGAGGCCACAAACCCCAACTCAGACGTACGGTACGAGGTTCAACTCAAAGGTGCGGGCAAGACACCCTACAGTCGTTTCGCCGACGGCAAGGCTGTGCTACGAAGCAGTATCAGAGAGTTTGTCGTCAGTGAGAGTTTGCATGCTCTTGGTATCCCTTCGACTCGCGCATTGGCTTTAACTTTCACTCCCGAGGACAAGGCTTTGAGAGAGCGCATCGAGCCCGGCGCTATTGTCACACGTTTCGCTCAAAGTTGGCTACGCTTTGGTACTTTCGACCTTCTACGATCTCGGGGCGACCGAGCACTCATCCGAAAGTTGGCCACATATGTTGCAGAAGACGTCTTCGGTGGCTGGAAGAACCTCCCGGGTGCCTTGAAACCCGGCGAGATTACCGAGACGGCCATTGACCCAGAACGCGGCTTCGCAGACACCATCCTAGAGGGCGAGAACGAACACGAAGAGAATCGCTTCACACGTCTTTACCGCGAGATTGCCCGTCGTAATGCAAAGACAGTTGCGCACTGGCAAGCCTACGCATTCACGAACGGTGTGCTCAACACTGACAACACATCCGTCTTTGGATTGTCCATCGACTTTGGCCCCTTCGCCTTCCTCGACAACTTTGATCCGAGCTACACACCCAACCATGACGATCACATGCTACGCTACAGTTACCGCAACCAACCGAGCATCATCTGGTGGAACCTGGTACGTCTAGGCGAGGCCTTTGGCGAGCTAATCGGTGCCGGAGCCCGTTGCGACGATGACGAGTTCGTGAACGAAGGCGTCAGCAAGACTTGGGCGGACGAGCTGATCAAGCGTGCCGAAACACTGATCGAGAAGACGGGCGAAGAGTTCCGCACAGTGTTCATGGCCGAGTACAAGCGTCTCATGTCTGCACGCCTCGGTCTCAAACAATGCAAAGACTCTGACTTTGAAGTTCTCTTCTCCGAGTTGCTGGACACACTCGAGGCACTGGAGCTTGATTTCAATCACACTTTCCGCAGACTCAGCAATATCAACCTGATAGAGATCGAGTCTGAGGAGCAAAGGAAGGAAGTCGCGGGTCGTTTCTTCCACAGCGAAGGTCTCGGTGGCACAGTAGGTACCAGCGAAGACGATGCCAGAACTAGAATTGGCAAGTGGCTCGAGCAATGGCGCAACCGTGTCATCGAGGACTGGAGCGAAGGCAAGGATGCCGAGCGCCAAGAGGCCATGAAGAAGGTCAANCCCAAAGGTAAAAAATCGCATCCACGATTACATGAGAAAACAAAAGACTGACTTACACGTTCACAGTTCATTCCCAGATCATGGATCCTCGACGAGCTGATCGAAAGAGTCGAAAAGAAGGGCGAGCGCGAGATTCTTCAAGGTGTCATGAAGATGGCCCTCAATCCTTTCGAGGAATCATGGGGATGGAACAAGGAGGAGGAAGAAAGGTTCTGTGGTGATGTGCCTCACATCAAGCGTGCCATGCAGTGCAGTTGCAGCTCTTGAGCTGGCGGATGTCCTAGATCGAATAATTGTACAAGCCATATCACCACGCCATAGTCAAAATTCGAACTGCCGTCTAAACACATTCGTCATGATTTTCAAAGTGTCGAGTGCCTTCTGTGACGCGATCGGTTGAGTCGAAGACTGTCACAGTACAGACATGAGTAAGAAAAACATCGTTGTATGATATATTGACTTTGAGGTCTGCCCATAATCGTAGCCATTTCATCCGTCTCGTTTTGTTCATTCGCAGAAAAAGGGGTATAAGAAGAGCTCACCAGACTGCCACCAACTAACCCATATTGACGCCTGTATACCATGCTCGCTGTTATGTGTATAATGCTGCTGCCATTCATTCGCAGGCAGTCTTCATCAGAAAACAAAGCCTCCCCCTAGTTTTCAAGTGGGGCCGACACACTACCTAACCATGTCGGTAACAAAGACAAGGAAACCGAAAGAAGAAGAGAAAAGAGCCCAGGTCGAAGAATATGCCGAGCCTTCCGAAGATTCGTCAAAGTCAACAAGGAAGGACGCAATCAGACCTGAGTCTTCTTGTCGAGGAAGAGGTGCAAGTGGTTGTCGCCATCGTATGGGTCCTTCTCCTTCCACTCCCAGCACAAGAACTTCCAGTTGAGCTCGGGACGCCAGAACAGTCCATAGCCGAGACCGCCTCCATCAGCTGTCAGAGCGCCAGTCTTGGGCATGCGGATACCGAAGACGCAGCGAGCGAAGCGCGAATGCAAGATGGCCATGGTACACATGACGCAGGGTTCATGGGTGAGGTAGATCTCGAGATCGACGCAAAGGTAGCCGTCAGGGATGAGGTTGTCCTTGTTAAAGGCTTTGCGTTCCATGGGCGTCAGAGGGTAGTCAAGCAAAGTCTTGTCAACGAACTTGGGAGCTCCAGGAGCGGGTGTGTGAGAAGGTCTGTTGATGTCCAGAGCAGCCATGTCCGGGTTGAGCTTTGTAGGGTCACGAGTAGCGCTGCGGACACGTTTGCGTGCGACCATGCCTATAGCTCGCATAACGGCGTGAGCCATAGGGTTCTGCTGACCAGCGACCTCGTCCAGGCCTTGGTAGCGGCCATCTCCAGCGACGGCGATGACTTCAACAGGCTTTCCGGTAGGTCTTTCGATGATGACGCATCCAACGCCGGCGCCGCAGCACTTGGCCTTTGTCTCTCCGGCGACTTTCTTGGCCATCTCCATGAGGCGAGGTACGTTGTTGTTAGAGAGGACTTCCTCCTCGGCGCGGCCGATGATGCTAGGGTGAGGGCCGAAGGGGTTGGTCTTGCGGTAGATGGTGGGCCAGTACTGTTGAGACCACAGTTCGGCTTGCTCTGCACTGGTGGGGGGCAGCAGAGGAAGGGTGACCTCTCTGAGGATGAGAGGGAAGCCGTCGTCGACGAATGGAGGGTTGGCAAGGAGGAGCTCGGTGATGGCGTCTTCGCCAATGCAGCTGACGGGACTAACGATCAGGTGCAGCGTGGCCGGGACACTACCTCGACGTTTGTTGCGCGATGAGCGTGAGCGAGACGAGCCACGGGACGAGCCATCGGCGTGATGGTCGCTGCCACTTCTGCTGCGGCTGACGGCGACCGTCTCGGGGACGAGGTGGGTGGGCAGGAAGCGGGCCTTTGCAAAGCGGCGGATGTGCTGCAAGTCGATGGCATCGAGTTCAGGAACGTTGTCCTTGATGAGACTGGATAGAAGGGTCAGTGAGAGCAGGGACGGCGTGCAAACAAAGGCGAGCGTACCNNCCAGGACGGTGTTAGCAGCTCTGGATGGCAATTCTATAGTCCATGCTTGGACGGTGGCAGTCGAGGCACGAGCCTCTGCCTTTGTCTTCAACAACCAGAGGCCGGGCTTGGAGGGTGGCATGTCGTTGTCGTCGATGAAGGAGGGTGATGGAGAGTTGTGGTTGCGACCATCCAGGTCAGCGTGGGACGCAGCATCGGCAGGGCTGAAAGCAGGTCCAACACCCGGGGGTGCGGACCTTCCTCGTTGTTCTTCACTCATTGCATCGTCTGGAAACCGAAGAAGGCAGTCTCACATGTCGCGACTTCCCTCTCTACAATAATTTCTGGTGCACGGTTCATCGCTAGCGTGCTCTTCCCCAGATCTGCTCGGTTCGACCGCCCTTAACTCCGGCTGCCTGCATAACTCGATCCTTCTCCATACTGCCTTTTTGTGCAACGCGGTGTTGATCTGTTGTCACGCTGCTTTCCATTCTTTGTGACTACACTTTTCTTCGCACTAGAATACCCTTCACCTGACGTTTTCAAAGTGAAGACTCGGTTGACAGAGAAGACTGAGGATTTGACAAGAACTGCAAGCCCGTTTGCGATCACCGCTGTCCAATCGAGCCAGGACACCAGCGCAAACAGGCAAGAAGCATCAAAGCCTGACATTTCTTGAGACACGGAAGGAAACAGACATGGGCTTGGAAATGCTCCCGGACGAAGTCGTTCTTTCCCTGACCAACCAATGGCCATGCAGAGATTTGCAGATCAAGACTCTGTCCGCCCTCCTTTCTGTATGTAGGCCCATCGCAAACGCTCGTGTGTTTACTGATGTCGTTTAGCCTAGGCTGAGCAGTTCGGGAACACTGGTTGTACATGGCCCAGAGTCTACTGGAAAAACAGGCCTCCTCAAATCTTACCTGGAGCACTCTGGCCTCAAGCATGCTTTTATTCCATGTTCCGAATGTATTACGAGCCGTCATTTCCTGGAGCGGACTGTGGCAGCTTGTGTGGAAGCGGTAGAAGTAGCGACCGACGTATCGCTGAATGGGATCGTTCCCGCGAGGTGCGAGAATCTCAGCACTCTGACAAGCTCTCTAGAACGTCTTTTCGAAGGCATCGACAAGTTTGTGCTGGTCCTGGACGGCATCGATGAGCAAAGAGAGGCTCCTCCTACTCTATTGCCAACTCTCGCACGTTTGGGTCAACTAATCCCCTGCCTCAGCGTTGTGATGATTGTCACGTTTCCTCATCCACGTCTCCTTCATCTTCCGGGTGCCCCACATATCTACTTCTCGCCTTACACTCGTGAACAAGCCCTCCAGATCGCTTGCTGCCAACCTCAACAGATATTCAATGAGCCTCTATCACCGTCTGCCAACTATTCGGAAGACCTTGCCGCCGAAGATGATGCATGGCTCTGGTCGCGGTTCTGCGCCGCTGTTTGGGATTCGTTGGCGAGTGGTGCAGCTCGAGATATTGTCACCTTCAAGTCCATCCTCGACAAACTCTGGCGTCCCTTCGTGCAACCCATCGTTGATGGTACATATGGTACTCGAGACTTCAGCAAACTCATGGTAGCACAACGCAAACTCTTCCAAGCGGAAAGCTGTCTGCTGGATTCGGTTATCGATGAGCCACAACAGGACACCAAGATACTGACTGATGGTAGGTGAGATTTCCTACATTCTCGAGCATATTTGCTGACCCTGCTGCANGTCACTCACGATCTGCCCTACTACTCCAAATGGCTGCTCTGTGCTGCGTACCTTGCATCCTTCAATCCACCCCGCCAAGACAACGTCTACTTCATGAAAGCTGCAGAACGGAAACGACGCAGGAAAGGAGGCGGTGCCATCGCTGGCCGCGAGTCGAAGAACCGCAAGATCCCAAGACATCTCCTCTCACCTAGCCCTTTCCCACTCGACAGGCTACTCGCCATAGTCCACGCTGTATTACCGCATGATCTCACACCAACGATAGACATCTACACACAATTGGCAACCTTGTGTTCTTTAAGGTTGCTGCTGAGGACGGCAGTCATTGGCGGTGATGTACTTGAGCCAGGTGCTAAGTGGAAGGTCAACTTCGGCTGGGAGTACGCACTCAAGTTGGCTCGAAGCGTAGGCTTTGACATCACAGACCATGTAGCTGAATAGATGTTCTTGCCCAGTATGTATAACTCTATTTCCAGATTATTCAGCGATCCTCCCAGGGTCAAAATTAACATGAAACCATGCTTTTCTCTTTCCCTCCCAGCAGCACAGCGGCCGGAAGGGGCCTTTTTCTGTGTTTTCATTCTCTCTGCTTTCTGTGTATGCTGTAAGTGTGAAACATGCGATATAGCAGGACATCGGCAATTTCATGAGAGATCAAGACTTCAGTATCCGAGGCTGATGGTCGGACAGGACTGGATATTGAGAAGTGAACGCCGCAGACTCGAACGCCTGGATCTGGCGAATCCAGCCAATAAACAAATCTTCCTACTTTTGTCTTCCACCAGACGCTGCTAATACTGACAATCTCTCAGGACCTTTTCCATCCTACCCTCTCACAACCACATCCTCTCGACCATCTCGCGTGTCCACAACGTGACCAAAATGCCTCCAGCAAAGGCCAGTGGATTATTTCACACCGAAGAGCCTCTTGATCCAGAGGACATTGCAGACATTGAAGAGATTCGTAATGGCAGAGCAGTCCTCGAATTCGTCAACGAGTACGAGTACAAAGGAGTACTTTTCGTCAAGATCGCCAGAGACATCAACTCTGCCAAGCGCCAGCAAGTCGAGTTTTCAGCAGTGGTTCTTGGTCAGAGCCAGGAAGAAGCTGGCAAAATGGTGTTACTCAAGCGCCCTGGTACACTCTTCCAGACCGTTTACGGCAAAGAGCTCAAACAGAGTGGAGGTATTGGTTTAGGCCATGGTCACTGGTGCTCTGGTCTGCAGTTGAAGTGGGTGCCCAATAGTACGACGTCCACCAAGGCCGCGTCTGGCCTCTTTGCCGAGAAGAAGCTGCAGGATGCCAGAGTCGAGCTGGTCAAAGATCTCTACAACTTGATTGGCGAAGAAGACTGGNNTCTGACATCCCATGGGATGAAGTCGAGGTTGGCAGAATCACATGTACCCGCTCGTGACTGCTGATTAATTCTGATCTAGGCCAGAATCGATGGTGTGCAGCGCCAACTAGACGTCGAGAACTCTCCCAAGAAATGCCAGCAACAAGGACACAAGAAGACAAACAAGGCCAAGAAGGTCAATGAAGCGGTCGAACAAGAGGAGTCTCCTGAAGTAGATGACTGGCTCGACTACAGCAGCCACATCGTTCGTAACTGCAAGTTCGATATCGATAAGAGCAACAAGTTGAACGACAAGCAAAAGGCCAGAGTCAAGGCACTGATGACAGACTACGTGGCCAAAGAGCCTTCTGCCTTCAAGAAACACAACCATGAACTGGCCACGCTTCTGGATAAGGCCTTTGTGGCTTCATTCAGTGTCGAGATCTTGCACGACTACGCCAAGGCGAGAGAAGTCAACCTTGACCTCTTCGGCCTTCAGACTTTTACCAGATTCGCAGCCTGGTGGGAGACAGTTGACGTAAGATCGCGCAGCCGTTCGCCTAGTCGTTCGCCTGGTCGTTCACCTGGCCGCTCGCCTAGTCGTTTGAACCGTCTTTCGCGCAGTCGTTTGTCTGGTCGGGCACAGAGTTTTTCGGCTGACACCAACTCTACGCCCAGCAAGGCGCCTTCTGGCAAGCACTTTATGTGGGAGGTCACGAACTTTTTGGCCTCTTTCTTCCAGGGAGACTGAGTAAGAACCCTCTTTGACACGAGAAGACTGTGTATTGAATATTGAAATCCTGACCTAGTACAGGAACTGTTCGTACCAGCAAACATGCTCTTGACGTGGTCTCAGTAACGTGAGGCTCCATCGGTCATCATTATTGCTCTTCACGAGACCACTCAGCCAAAAAAATCAGCACAGGGAAAAGAGGAGAGCCAGGTACAGATAGAGAGCATCTTTCTGTATTGCTCCAGCTCGATAGGTCTTCGACCTGATCACTATTGCTGTCAGTCATAATATCGAAGGAGGGGCAGTCGACTCGCTGGAGAGATAGTTTTGATACTTGTACACAGTAACCCAATCTCATTCCTCTCGCATACCGTACTACTCTAAGCGGTACCCATCGGGAAGCCTTTACTTGTTGATTAACCTCAAACGGCAGGGCATACCTTCCCTCGGCTTTGCGGTCCCCAGCTGAATCTGATATGCCTTCTCACCAAACTGTTCTTGCACGCCACTCAAGCTACTCGGGTAACCCGAGCCATCATTCCTCAGCTTTTCCACTTCTGCAAATGCCTCTTTGAAATCAAACTGGCGTATCGTCATGGCCAGAACCATTTTCAATTCCAACATTGCAAGCTCTTGACCGATGCAGTTGCGAGAGCCTTTGGCAAATGCCATGAAGGCATCACGATCTGCTGCACTCTTGGTTAATGTTTCGTCGACGAGCCAGCGCTCTGGGCGGAAAGCATGGACGTCCTCGCCCCAGATGCTTTTGTTCATCTGATGACCTAGATTGTGGCTCCAGAGCAACCAACCACGTGTAGGATAGCGTTCGCCGGTGTCAGGATTGGTGATGAAGAANNACTGAGAAATGTAAGTGGTATGTATCATGTAATACAGTATGTGAGTGATTACTTACTCTTCGGCGCCAGCGCGGACAGTGTTTGCAGGCGGGAATATTCTTAGTGTCTCCCGTATAACTGCGTCCCCGTATTTCATCTTGTTGAGCAGGTACGGGTCGGCTTTGATCATGTCGCCAGTCTTGCTCACATCCGTACCAAAGATATCCTCACATTCTCTTCGTAGTCGAGCAAGTGCCGCTGGATGTTGACTAAGTTGGTAGTGGCAATAACATATAGATGAACTACTCGTATCGTGGCCGGCAAAGATGAAAATCTTGATGTTTCGCAACGCAGCATCCTTGAACTTTGGATCGAGCTTCGAAGTGTCGTTTACATTGTTCTCCTTGAGGTAAGTCTCGAGCGCCAGGTCGATGACATGTTTCTTCTTGCCTCTGGAGTTGCGCGACGCGAATCTTTCTTCGAGGATGTTGCCAACGTATGTGTCCATCTGACGTAGGTTCCACCATTGTACGAACGGACGGAATATGTTGAATATTTGTAGAGGTCTTTGTGTCCAAGCTGGTGACATTAGTTCTGATCGGAAATACTCTAGACTTACTTACGGACNGATCTTCATCCATCGTACTTGACTTTCAAAGGCTGTGACAAGCGGGTGTTCCTCCACCTGGGAGTTGAAGTGGTCATCGCTGGTAACCATCAGCTCAATGAAACAGAGTATAGTGCGAAAGACGACTTACAGGACTACTCTACCGATGATATCTATTGTCAAACGAGTTGCATGATGTTCCATACGAAAGAGCTCTTTATTGACTGCATGTTTATGGAGGATCTGAGTGAATGTAGCCACATCGTCGACGATTGTAGGCATCATCGTCATGAGATGGGCGACAGAAAAACCAGGGTTGAAAGCAGATCTCCACGTCTTCCATTGAGGACCGTCACTCGTCAGCATGTCACCACCTCCGGTTATGACCGAAAGGGCTTNCTCCAAGGACTTTTAGCAAACCGTCAGCTGGCAAGGTATACCATATAGTATGGGGAACAAGATACTTGGATGTTTGGGCATGGATCTCTGGGTAAGAAATTGGCTACTGTATGATGTATGAGTTGCGACGCATAGCGGGACCGACAATGGCCATATATCGAGATAGAACAAATCTGGCAAGTTGTATCTATTTTTAACCATCATGGGTAGACTTTGGCCTGCGCAGCCTCGAGGAGAAGCTCGTGAGGCTTCGGCCATGGCTTTCAAGTGTCCGAAAATCGGATGGTGAGGAGGGCCTGGCTGTTGAGCAGGAGGTTAATTGAGACGATGAAGAAATTGATGGTCTTCATCTCCTTACGAGTGTGGCGGCATGTCGTCTCCAAACATAACCTTTGTAGAGAAAGCGGCCAAGCACAGTCAGCACGACGGCCAATATGGCCAAGGCAAGAGTGTTCATGCTGAATACTGTTGTGATCTTCACGAAGTCGATCTGGAGGAATGCACACGCAAGCAGATAAGCATATTGATGTCTGTTGATGAGAGATTATATACACTCGAGCGGCAAGCATTGCATCCTTCGAGATATGTGCAGCCCCTCAAGCTTATGGCGCTTAATTGATACGTCATCTTACAGGACTGGCCGGATAGGAAGCAGAGATTGGAAAAGGCGAAGAAACATGGACGAGATGCAGCAGGACACAGACATAGTCTCCGAGAAGGCGTCTCGATGGGAGATGAGCAGACTGCTATCGACGTGTTTGCGTGTTGACGATCAGGGTGTGAAGGGGTCTGAGGCTAGACATGTGTTGGTAGACGAGGTCGAGTTTTGTGTCTGGACATCTCCATCGGAAGAAAGTGCGGCCCAGGCCTGATGTTTCTATATCACGACAGACTCAAGAAGAGAAGAATGCAAAGATGTCGACGGTTTCGGTGGTGTGAGAGGTTGGGAGGCAGGCCAAAACGTCGACGTCATGCCGAACTTCCCCAGACGCAACTCAGGCAGTGGCAGCTCTTGGGACCGAGACCGAGACGCGGCCAGAGCCAGACCTTCCCAATCCTTGCAACGCATTCTATCCCGACACATGGCCATGGAGTACGAACCGACCGCCGACGACGCGAATGTCGACCTCGCCGGCCCCGGCCTGCACGGCAAGCTGGAGTGCCGTGTGACGGACCCGCAGAAGGAGAACGAGGGCACCCAGAACCCCTTCATCTCGTACCTCGTCACCACCGACACCGACTTCAAGTCCTTCGTCAACAACCACTCGGCCCTGCGCCGCCGCTTCACAGACTTTGTCTTCCTGCAAAAACACCTCACGCGCGAGTACCCGCAATGTGCCGTCCCACCGCTGCCCGACAAGCACAAGATGGAGTATGTCCGCGGCGACCGCTTCGGCCCTGACTTCACCTCGCGCCGCGCACACGCTCTGAACCGCTTCCTGAACCGCCTCGCCCTACATCCCGTCCTCCGCCGCGCCGCTCTGCTCGCCCAATTCCTCGAGAGCGACTCATGGAACTCAACCATGCGCTCCCGAGCCGCCCGCGGTATGAGCGCCGGCGAGGCTGTCGCACCTGGCGTGCTAGAAACATGGACAGACAGCTTCTTGAACGCCTTTGCCAAAGCCCACAAGACCGACCGCCGTTTCGTCGATGTCCGCGAACGTGCCGACAAGCTCGACGACGACCTCTCCACCGTTTCCAAATCCGTCTCCCGCCTGGCACGTCGCGAATCCGATCTCGAGGGTGACTATGCCGATCTAGCAACACAATTCCAAAAGCTCGCACAACTCGAACCAGGCGTTCAAAACGAGCTCACCAGCTTTGGCTCCAGCATACAATCAAACTCACAGGCATGGAAGGACTTGCGCGAATACACCGATCAAGACTATCTCGGCAGTTTGCGCGACATGGAAGCTTACATTGCCTCGGTAAAAGCCCTCCTCAAGACGCGCGAGCAAAAACAACTCGACTTTGAAGGTCTATCCGAGTACCTCACCAAGGCTGCCAGCGAACGCGACCACCTGGCTTCGGGACCCAGCATGGGCGCCTCTGGCTTCATTCGGGCCAAGATCGAGGATGTACGCGGTGTAGACCACGAAACGGCACGTAAAGAGCGTGTCCGCAAACTCGAGCTCCAGATCGAACGCCTGCAGAACGAAGTCGAGGCTGCCAAGAAGACGAGCGAGGCCTTTGACATTGAAGTCGTCAAGGAGGTGGATGATTTCGAGCGTATCAAAGCAACAGAGTTCCGCGAGACGCTCGGTGGGCTAGCAGACGCCAATTGCGAGTACTTCCGCTCGACCATCGATACATGGCAGAAGTTCATTGAGCAGATGGAACGCGAACAAAGGGAGTCAACGACGAGTTGAAGGCTTGTGCAGTCTTTGGTTTGATATTACAACAGGAGTGCTTTGAACGACGGCGCAACAACAGGGAACATGAGGAATAGCCGGAATGTGTAATTACGATTTGTTTGATCGAGCATTCTTCGAATTAGAGGAAATGTGAATTTCTTGGTCATTCTCTTTCGCCTTTTTTCCTCTGCTGCTCTGACCTTTCTGTGCATCTTCCTGGGGCAATCTCTCTGCCGATTTCCTCTTTTCCTCGAAGTCCTCTCTTGCCATGTCGGCAGGATGTGAGCTGCTAAATCAGCCAAGGCATATTTGATTGTTGCCTACCATACCTCCCGCTTTTCTCCTCAATCTCGCCTCTCTTGAGCTCTGGTCTTCCAAGGCATCGATCCCTCATATCCGATTGAATGTGACATGCCCCCACTAACCCCATCCAATTCAATCATCAAAAAACGAACCCCTTCCAACCTCTGGATCATAGTTTTCGTGTCTGGCGGGCTTGTATCCCGAACCTCTTTTCTTTTTTTTTCTTCCTTCTTCTTCATCTTCGCTTCCTTGTTGTCGGAAGGTTTGTACTTGCCGTCCCAGGCCTTTTTGCCGATAAAGGAAGTGATTGTGGCGATGATGAGGACGATGAAGGTGCGGTGGCCTCCCCTGTTGTTGAGGGGAGATGTTAGTGGTGTGAGATGGAAAGAGGTGATAGGGAAGAGGAAAGGAGTAGGGGAGGGAAGAAGACTTACTGTCATTGTTGCTGTTTGGTGGTGGAGGGAGTTGGCGAGGAAGGTGTTTGGTTGGTGATCAGAGATCGTGAGATCAAAAATCGTGAGATCGAGTGAAGAAGGTTTGGTGGGCTTGTTTGATGCAAGACAGCAAGGTAAATGCGTGAGATCGTGGACTGAGAGTGATGTTGCCAGAGCAGTAACGATCTGATGAAATTGAGAGTCAGTCTTCTACTGCTGGAAACACAGATAGCAATGAACCCACAAGGCGCACTATTCTTTGTTGAAGAAGGATGTTTGGTCAAGGCCTGAGATCGTTGTTGTAGTCCAAGAGGAAAGAAGATGGTGACCAACGATCTCTGTCAGAGAGAAAAGAGAGGAAGAGGACGAGCTAAAGTTGTTTCGTCGTTTTATAGAGGCAGCGGAGGTCCGAGTAAGCTGTTCAGTAGACAGTGACAAGGCGTAGTGAAGCTGATTGAATCCAAGCAAACAAGGAACCGTGCGAGAAAATTCCGCGAGCAAGTGACGAGACAGAATCAGAGAAATGGCCTCTTCATATGCAAGAGTCCATAGCACACGTAGTCGAGAGATGCGGAGTGAATTCTGGAACACAAGAGTGAATTTGGTGAGAGGTGATAGACACACCAGAAGATCTCTCTGGCAACATCTCTGGTCTAATGGAGAAAGTATGAACCGCTACGCATCTACTTATTCCAACCTACAGACTTCAATCTTACTGCAGTCTGGATGTTCGAGTGCTGTCAACACTTGCCCTTACCGACTCAGTAGCAGTAGGTATTCTCTGCAGTGCTGGCATCAGATCACGTTCCCTCACAGTTACTGTTGTCGTCCTCGCTTCTCGCAACACTAGCACAGTCTCGCCAGAATTGTGGTAGTCAGTCTCGCAGCTGATCAGGGGCTGTGCTGGCCCTTCTTCGACAGGACCACCAGCCTGTCCTGGGCTGAGCAACCTCGACGGGCCGCTCGACTCGGAATTGTCAACAGATGTGGCGACTGATTGTATGTCCACAGAAGGCAGAAGGTGCATGCCTGGTCTCAGGGGCACCAGCACGAGAGAGATTTTGGTCTCTTCTTCGTTATGCTTGTAGAGGAAACGTGAGCGCTTGGGTCCAGCAACGAGCCATGGACCGTCCACAGGAGCATCGATGGTATATGAAAATGTAAGAGATGTATCTGATGTCAATTCTGCATTGGCCCAGCGTGTTGTATGTTTGATGGAAAGAGTGGCTGGTAGCGGACGACCGATAATGACTGATTTGGTAGAGTCATCTTTGTCCAGTTGCAGAGTGACGCTATGCAGGACATCCACTGTTGGGACTTCGACCGAGAGCGTGATCTTTCTTGACAGGGAAGCTGCCGCAGTCTTATCAAGAATGAGCTTCTGATTGTTNNCTGCACGAAAGATTAGCATGGGTCGATTGTTTGCTGAACACGATATGGTACTTACCGAGTGCCACTCCTGCAACCACTCGTCTAGACCTTGTCGCTTATCAGACGTGAGACTGGCAACAATCTTTCCCCAGCCCGTTGTCTCGTACGAAGGCACTTGGAACTCGTTGAGCAGCACAGCCTGTTCAAGGTGCTGGGGTGGTGCATAAGATCTAGCTCTGTTCAACAAGGTAGGCACGAGCAAGCGCCGCAAAGGCGCAAAAGGGCTGTTCGCTACTGCCGTTTCCAGCAAACTGCCAAGCTTCTCGAAAATGGCCTCGTCTGAGCGTGTGTACTCAATCGTTAGTGCCAATGCAGCTTCCTTTTTGTTTAGTTTGCTTCCCTCGACTTCCTTTCTTGTAATCTTGTAGGTCAGGCTGGCCGGCTGTTTGTCGAACACAGTCAACGGTAGAGGGCAAGGTAGGGCCTTCACTTCATATGTTTGCGACTCGTCTATTCGCACATTCGTGATTTCCAGTGGGACCGCGTTCGTCGTTCTAATACCGAATCGCGAGAACAGTGCCTGAGACTTGAAGATGTCATTAACATCCACATCCAGAGGCAGCGCTGCTGGGATCGCTGAAGTGCGGAGGTACGAAAATGTGCCGTGACTGGTCTGGTAACTCGCCTCCAGCTTGACCGTAAGCTCGTCAAGGCTACGTTCTGTACTGTAAGGCACTCGAACTTTCACCTCGACTCCTGCTTCTACAGCACCAAGTTTGAGCATGCCAGCCTGTGATGTGTCTAGCTGGCCGTGGTCGCTCTCTAGGATTGCAGCATCTGCAGTGTGTAGCCTCAGCCCAGCAGAGGCAGACTTCAGCCGCAGATCGAGACTCTCGGTCTTGTTGCGCCCTGTCAGAATCGTGAGCACGATGGATCGAATTTTGTCGATATGTATCTCGTTGGCCAGTCCTGCTCGAGCTTCCAGAGACTCGCCATGAGGATAGACCAGTAGCGATGGCCCACTTATGCTGGATCTTCTCTCAGATATGTTGGCGTTAGTGATGCCTAGCGGTGTCGTCTGTGGTTTTGGCTGGAAGTCGTGTGAGAAATGTAGTTTCCTGGACTCTAGTATCAGTTTGTCGATCAGATAGTGCCCATACGTCGTGACATTTGAGTGAACTTGGAGTTTGGTAAGACCTCGCTTCAATTCCAGAGGGCCATCACTCTGCAAGAGTATCTCCTGGCTAGCGTCGCTTGCTAGTACCAGTCGAAGTCTGACACGATCGATTTTCAGGTCATCATCCAGGAGATGCTTGAAGCGAACATTCAACCCGAACCCGTCCTGATCTGGACGCAGTATGATCTCTGCACCAACGTCGATTCCAGCAAAGAAATCAGACATTGAGGTGGTGAAGTTGTAGGGTAGTTCGTCTGAGAAGCTCACTAGCTCTCCAAGAACACCACCAACATCAACGGTCTCTTCATCAAGCCATGCAGAGGAGCTGTCTAGTCTGGGTAATGCCCTCGTCGTGCGATGTGTAACAACCTTACTCAGCAGATTTAGCATCACTCTCATGTATTCGTCGCGTCGGTGCAGATCTTTTAGACACTTTGCGTATATCCTCAACATCTCCGCATGAACGTACGACCAACTCGTCTTGGAAAAGGTTGAAGATGATCGCTGAAAATAGGTGGCTGCCTGAGCGACATCACCAAGTTGGCTGAGAAAAGGGTCAGTTGGGGGATAGTTGTCAATGTACTTTCATAAGACCTACTAGTTTAGTATGGCAAGATCACACAGAACAGAGTCTGCAGATTTGGTGTGGTTCGCTGTTGCGAAATGTGACGCCGCAAGCGTGCTCAGTTGCTGTCAAGGTATCAGCGATGTGTCCATTGTAGTACAGAAGCACATTATTACTTCATAGGCAGCTCTGAAATCTTCCAGAGAGGCTAGCGCAGCCGACATGGGTGTATTCAGAAGCATTGTCGCAATCTTGGCGATATCTGCTGGTGCAGCTGATTCATTTGACACTTCTCCGTCTGCTCCAACTTCTTCTTTGTCGTCAAGATCAATGTCAGTCAGGGCTTGCGTTGCTTTGATTGCAGCCCAGCCTGAGAGCCAGCCTTTCTGCTTTGCAAGAGCTTCGATGATTTTCCGCTGCATGAGGAAGAGCTGAGCTCGGCCAGAGGCAAGCACGGCGATGCCAGATCCATGCGTGGTCATACTATCTTGCTGAGGATTGGGGCTTGACTTGGAGTATCGTTCGTTCTCATAGATTGTCTGTGGAGTCAATTGTGACGAGGACGACGCACTGCGCTGTAGAGAGCTTGACCGTGTGGGGTGAGTATTTGCTCCCTGAGGAAAGTTGAAGTTACCGCCTGCCTCTTTCTTAGAGTAGACACCCAGCGTCTTACTCTGCGGTGGCAATGACGACTTGTCACCGGATAAGGGGAAGTCCTTTGATGCAGTCTCGCCAAGTACCTGTTCAAGCACAGCATAGGTCCAGGAAGAAGCGATGTTTTCCACAAGAGATGAAAGATGAGAATTGATTTTATNACCTACACAGCTATCAACACAAGAATCTACATGATGCACAAGGATGTGACCGTACCCTTCGGTAAGGCCGTTGCGAAGAGCACGAGCATTGGTAGCGGCGAAGAGAGCCGCCCTCTTACAAACTTCAGCAGCGAAGGTCAAGTTGTCATCTTTCGGAGTTTCCCTGGCACTGGAAGGTCTAGCCTGTTGAAGGTTGCCACTTCCAGCGCTCAGGCGAAGCAGGAGTGTTCTCTGCCTCGCAAAAATGTATAATCGGAAGTCAAAGAGAGATATGGTGCTCGAAACAATTTCCCCACGATAGTCCTTGTTAGTCAGGTCCAAGGGCTGGTCGGACAGTTCTCGAAACTGTAGAGTTAGTTTTTCGAGCTTGGAATCGTCCAATGGCGTGTTGAGTATCTCCAGGAGAGAGTNTTTGTGAGCACCAAGGTCACCAAGGAACGTGCCTTGGGCAGCACCAGGTTCGTTATCACGTAGAGCAGATTCGAGGCCTGCCGAAAGCTCATCATATATTGCCAAAGCGTCTTCGACCAAGCCAACACTCTCAAAACCACGAGCTAGACCTTCTTTCAAGGTGAAGAAAGTGCAAAAGTTCCAGCCAGGCAGAGCACGTTGAGAGTCTTTCTCGCGGATATCATCCTCGTAATGTAACACGCGCAGATCGAAAGACATGAGGATCAAAGTCTTGAACTTTGCAATGAGGTCCTGCCAGGCATTCTCTTGTTCTTGCGGGCTCTCAATGTAAGGTTGGGTGACTGGCGTCTGGGGTAGAAGGTGTGNGGGAACATCCTTCTTCTGCAGCCTGATTTGAGCGATGCGCTCTGGACCAGACTTGTTCGAAGCGGTGAAGTCGGCGCGTATCTTGTCCAGTACAGTCCTTGAGCTCTTGCCAGGCCATTTGGTTGTGCTTGACGGCCTCTCGACCAACTCGTCGTTGGATGCAGCGGTCCAGCGAGGCTCGGAAGCGGCGATGGTGTCAGGAATGACTACGTGTAGGATAAGCCATTCGGCAGCATCGTGGTCCTCTGATCGGTTCACAGCAGAGGAGCTCTGAGGGGNTGGCGCGACGTCGTTAAGCCAGTCGCGAAGGAGCTGGCGTGAAGAAGACTTGTATGTGTCTTTATCGTCGCATCGCAAAAGGAAGATCCTGAGGTAAGGAGTCTGGCGCAGGCCTGGAATCTGGTGTCGTCTTTCTTTGGCGGCCGAAGGAGGACCAGATCTGGAACCGTAGGAGTCTACACGCTGCAGCTTGTCGCTTTCAGAGGCTTCGGTTTGGGCATCGGGGACGAACTCGACATGGAGAGCGCCGATAGAGCGCAAAGGTCTCGNAGGAGACTTCCAGTTCAGGTTGCGCAGAGGCAATCTGGATGCCAGGTCACGCGAGATCAGGGGGAAGATAGCAGAGGGATCATGGTACTCGACTGGACAGATAGTCAGAGCAGAAGGTTGAGAAAAGGGCTATGCGACACACCGGTAACTTTGGAACTCATGGTGGACTCGATAGCTCGATGCGACCAGGATCAAGGAGCGATTGCAGTATACTATACTACAGAAAAAGGAAGGCGTCCAAGTGACCAAACATGACAGAGAATTAGCGCATTGTTCCTGTGTAGAAGTCGATGAGATAGGAAAAGGACAAGAAGCAATTGACAAGAAAGTGGGTGTTTGATTACCACAACGTGCCATTGTTTGAGGGCGTGGATAGGGAGGTGGCAGCTGGAGGGACGGCGACTTGTGGCCGGGCGGGCCGAGCGTTTTGTCACGCCTTCTGCCCTGGTCAGCAGCGGAAGCGGCAGCAAGTTGGGAAAGCGACGACGGCGAACTGCTACAAGGTCGTTCATCCTAATCACACACCACACCTCACCATGCAGCCGTCGCACATCAGACCCGTACGCACGCTCGACTTCGACCACCATGCGCCCATGCTGACGACGACATAGGCCCAGTTCGGCACCAAGTTCGAGGGCCACCACGGCATGCAGCCCTGGGTCAGCCTTCCCAACTACAAGGCCTACCAGAGCAAATACGGCCCCAAGTGAGCCCACAGCCAATCCTCCACCCCGTCGCTTCGCCATACTGATCCGCCCGACTCCAGCTACAAGATTGGCACCAACTTCCACGGCATCGACCTCCACCGCGCCAGAATCTTGTACGTCAACCGCCTCTCTAGACACTCCTGCATCAGCAAAGCCTCGCATACATCCCCGAATACACCTCCCAGACTCTCGATCCGATCGCTCTCATTCTCTCCTTATACAGCCTGCTAACATAGCCCCTCATAGNNCGGTACCACCGCTGCTGGCTTCGGTGCCGCCGCCGGTCTCTTCGCCCTCTTCTTCTTCGCCGACATCCCCCGTGTGCGAAAGGACATTATGCAGAAGGTCCCCTTCATCGGCAGCCACTTTGTCAAGGAGATTGCCCCCGAGGACAACCCCTTCTAAACGCTCGGCCACTACGGTGATGCTTTCTGGAGTTGGCTGCTGTGTACATTGAATACAATCGGGTTGCAGCATAAATTGCATGTTTTCTAGACCTTGTGTCCCATTCTCAAAAAGCTACCATCATCATCATCTTGGGATGCAGTTATCATTACGCCTCTTTTACGCCCATGCGATGCGCCTAATACATAGAAATCAACATGACGTAAGTCTAGTTGGCCTCGAGTCTGGACACGACCGAGGCCATCTCGTCATCACCGTATATCCTGAAACCCTTGTCCTTGGTGACGCTGGCCAGCTGCACGTTCTTTGAGTCCAGCTTCTCCTCCATGACCTGCTTGAGTGTCTTGAGCACCAGCACCTCGGCCTCTGCCAGTGTCAATGACTTGTGAAACTCGTTCTGTAGCTCGGCCTGTGCGCCCTCTGAACCTGATCCAATGGCCTTTGCGTCGTAGCGGTAGAAAGTGCCCGAGGGCTCGGCGTGGTNACCTGGATTTGTTAGAATTTGTGTTTACTAGGACGAGGAGTGAACAGCTTACAGTGACGGGCCGTTCTCGTCAAAGCCGGCAATGAGCAGGGCGACACCGAAAGGTCTGCTCATGATGCTCTCCTCACCCTCGGCACCCTCGCCGAATCTCAGGGCCAAGTCGCAGATGGCCTGGGTGCAGCTCTCGACGGACAGAGGTTCGGCGTAGTTGAAGGCGTGGCTTTGGCTTGTGATTCTGGCGTGCTCGATCATGCTGCGGGCGTCGGCTTGCAGACCGGACATGGCGGCACCGATGTGTCTGTCAATCTCGACAATCTTCTCGACGGAGCTGGTTTCGAGCAGTGTTGAAGTGACGCGCTTCTCGACACCGAGGATGACGCCTTCGGAGGTTGCGACNNCTGCGCGTGGGTCAGAGACTGAGAAGGCGATCGAATGTGTAGCGGTAGAACATACACCGATGGCAGTGGAACCGAGCTTGATGGCCTCGAGTGAGTACTCTACTTGGAAGAGACGGCCTTCGGGCGAGAAGGTGCTAGGGCGGAATGAGTATATTGTGTGCAAGTGAAGCGGAGGGACATGACATACTTGATGCCGCGATCTGAACAAGCATGTTAGCAGACTGGCCAGAATGAGGATGGTGGAGTCACCTACCATATTCGGAACGAGCAATGAACATGGTTGCGGTAGTTGGTGGGGATGAGCGAGGGGTGGCGGCGGGTGTGGGTGTTTATTGAGACGGGTAGCGGGGCTGGCTACTGTGTTGGCTTGTCGCGAACGAGGACGATGAGATGAGAGGAAGTGAAAGAAGAGCTGGTTGGGCGACGGCGAGCTGATTGTCTTGGTCGGCGGTGATGTCGATGCGCCGCTGGAGATTGAAGCTTGGACGCTTTCTTGTCCGTGTCCGTGTCTGTGTCTGTGTTTCGACAACGCGTCCGCCGCCAGACCAAGCAACGCGCTTGCAGTCCGACTTTGTTGAGCTTGCAGCCATGCGAGCATCGAGCAATGTCAGCTGCCGACAGAAGATCCTCGGCCTCGCACCGCCAGAGGCTNCCCCGGTCCACTGCTCAACCTGAATCCTACTCGCAAAGAAGCGCCCACGTCCGCGTCGAGTCGCATCAACACGAGTCTCGCTCTGCTACCGTCACCCGCGTCCGCAGCGTCCACAAACCCGCACAACACTCGTCCCAGCCCTCGAGATCGAGACAATCCGACTCCGTCCCGGCCAATGTCGGCCCTACTCCTCTCTGGAACCCCAAGGCTTCCTTGATACCTCATACCTCAGCCCCGTTGGCATCTCGCGTCTCCGTCCCACCTCTAGCCGCTCATGCGCCCCCTGCTCTCCAGCCCGATCCCCTGTCGAGCATGACACTCGATGCTCAAGAGACTGCCGTCATCCAGGACCTTTTATTCGTCTTTATGGGCTTCGAGGGCCAATATGTCCGCTACACCGACGCCTACCAGCCGCAAGAGGAAAAGAGCCGTCTTGCTGGTCCGCACTTTCGAGTCCTGCCCGGCCTAGACCCAAGCTTGAGAGATCTCACCATCTCCATGCTGAGAATGGCCTCACACTATGCCGCTGTCGAGGCCTTTGTCGAAGTTCAAAGCAGAGAGGAATTTGGCGCCGTCAACCACGCTCTTTGCGCCGCCATGAGGAAGCTGCTCAAAGACTATCTGATTCTTATCGCTCAACTCGAGCATCAGATGCTGACCAACCAATCCTTTACTCTACACGTTTTGAACCTTCACACCAAACCCACCAGCCATATGATGTTCCAATTGTACAGCCTGGCGCATGAGATCCTGAAGGAGAACTCCATGCTCGAGGACGACGATGATGACCTAGACGAATCTGACGACTTTGAAAACATCCTGGAATCTTTGCGAGAGGGTAGAGATGCTGGCAATGTCGGGAGAAAAGTGTGCAAGGGAGGCAGCGTATTGCGCCTCATCACCAAGCGCCTGGCGACCATGTCTGGCGATCCTGCAGCTCGAACTCTACTTACCACGCTGTTGCGAGAGTCCTCCAGACCATACATGGCCATGTTGAACGAATGGCTTCACCACGGCAATGTCCGAGACCCACATTCTGAATTCCTCATCAAAGAGCAGAAGAGCATTCGTAGAGAAGGATTGGAGCAAGATTATACCGACGAATACTGGGAGAAGCGCTACACCATCCGACACGAAGATGTACCCCCACAACTCGAATCTGTCAAGGACAAAGTGCTGCTGGCTGGCAAATACTTGAACGTCGTTCGAGAGTGTGGTGGTGTAGATGTGTCAAGAGATATGGACGATCAAGTCCCTCATACTTTCGATGATGTCCGCTTTTTGGACAATGCCAATTCTGCCTATGCCTTCGCCAACTCTTCATTACTCACCCTCTTACTTACCACACATGCTCTTCCTGCACGCCTTCGCAGTTTGAAGCACTATTTCTTCCTGGACCGATCTGATTTCTTCTCTTACTTCCTCGAACTCGGTCACTCAGAGCTTAAGAAGCCTGCCAAGTCCGTTAATATCGGAAAGCTGCAATCACTTCTTGATATCGTGTTGCGACAACCTGGAAGCGTTGCCGCCGAGGACCCATTCAAGGAGGACGTCAAGGTTGTCATGAACGAAGTTGGCCTGACCGGATGGTTGATGCAGGTCGTCAACGTCAAGGGTCTGGATGCTGATGGTGGCAGCATCACATCGTATACGCCAGCGGCCAGTGTCATTGGAGACGACAAAGACATTAGCGGTTTCGATGCGCTTACCTTTGACTACGCCGTTCCCTTCCCTCTCTCGTTGGTTGTCTCGAGGGTGACATTGACAAGATACCAGCTGCTCTTCCGTTACATTCTTTCATTACGCCATCTTGAACAGTTGCTAGTGAGCTCGTGGGTTGACCACTCAAAAGTCACAAGCTGGCGCCATAAGAGCTCTGACCGGCGAATTGAGGACTGGAAACGTAGAGCGTGGTGTCTGAGGAGCCGTATGCTTTGTTTCGTACAGCAGCTGTTGTACTTCTGTACGAACGAGGTCATAGAGCCTAATTGGACTGCATTCATGACCCGTCTGAGCGAAGCAGAAGCACCGGAAAGTGTTGCCGAGGGTGGAAAGGTCAAACGTACAGTGGATGAGTTGATGCAAGATCACGTCGATTTTCTGGCCACATGTCTCAAGGAGTGCATGCTGACAAACTCCAAGCTCCTTAGGGTACGTTGTGAACAATTGTTTTGCCAGCACAGTGACTGACATGCAAGCAGNATCAACTCCAAAGTCATGGCTACCTGCACAATGTTCGCCAACTACACTCAATCCTTGTCGCGAAACCTCGCCGTAAGCGATCCAGATCTTGCTAAGATTGAGGCTGGCAAAACAGAGCACGATCCACACAGGCTAGAGAAGCTTGACGACAACCTCAAACGCTTCGAGGACAACTTCACCAGACATTTGAAGATCCTACTGGACGCGCTCAACTACCTTGCTGCCACAGAGACGGTGGTGTTCTTGGGACTGTGTGCCAGACTCAGCATGGCCAATGAGAACATTTCCGGTCCCATATCTTCGGTACCTTTTGGTTGAATGAAAGATAAAAAGTATGTCATTTGGGTATCATGCTGTAAAAACAAGCGCTTTTGAAGGCAAGGGGAAAGGCTAAGAAGAGACGCTCTCTGGTTCCATGCTGTCAACAGCTTCGCGCCTCTAGCGTCTTCTGGGATCTCTGCTCGCATCAATGTTGGAAGTAGTCGGGTAGGAGACTGTCTGTGCTGCAGAAGGTGCAGGCCGAGTGGTAGGCACAAGAGCATTCATCATGGACGCAGTCGGTGCCACGACCGTCCTCTGCACACCCTCCATAGCCACAACCGGCGAGGCCTTCATCGGCGCAACAGGGGCTGGACCAGCACTCTGCCTGCGCTCTGCTCCTCCAGCCGTGGCACCAGACTTGTTGTACTTTTTCAGCGTGTCGTTTAGGAACTGTCTGGACTCCTTTGCGCGCGCATTGTACTCTGTCACTCTGCGGATCGAGTCCAGGGCTGTGAGTACTTCGGCAGTCGTCTGTTCTGAGATTTCCGGGCGTGTGTCGTTTGCCCTTATGGCATTGGGTTCGAATGCAGCGGTGAACATTCTGTTTCNTAGACGAAGGGACAAGTAGATTTTAGCATTTTGCAAAACAAAAGTCGAGAAAGCCAAATAATCGAAAACAACGTTCTTGATTTGTTGTATGTGTTGATTGGATTTGTTCTCGTCTTACCTCACTTGACTGTCGAGCGAGTCGGACTTTGCAATCATTTGCTTCAGACGCGGTTCAATGCCATCGAGACGGGGCGTGCCAGGATTGAAGTTTGTGATGGGCAGCATGACTGCTCTTGCCATGATCTGATTGTTTAGATTGTTAGTTTCTTGCGTCTCTGTGATATCCATCGTTGGATTTTTTGGATATTAGTGAGACTTTTTACCGTGTCATGGTGTTTCTTTGATGGCGCGGCCATGTTTTTGGCTTTTTTGGTTGTCGGTTCGGTTGGTCAACGGCTGCCCTCCCTCCACAGGGTGTGCGCAGCGCCTGTCTTCAACGGCAGGCGAGGTGGGGAAGTGAGATCAAAGTCATCGGCGGTGTGTAAGTCTTTGACTGAGTAGTCGGGGTTTCAGATAGCTTCGAGAATGTGATGGTAAATGAAGCGCATAGATGTGGTTAAATGGATGGAACCAGAAACATCGATTGAGCACGTGACCACAATACCAGATATCGAATGTCCATATGAATACCACAACCACATCAAGATGAAGATAGAGAAGACGCTCGTCTATAAGCAAATGCTTTTCCTCAGCCGATAGAAATTCAAATGTTCACAAGATATGTGTTGGCTTGGTGTGGCTTGCATGTGCCTGTGGCAGTGATACTAAACTACTGACTACGCCTTTCCTTCCCATTTCCTCTAGTACTGTTCAATCCCATGCTATCCCAATTATCCTCCAGAGTACCCCTTTAGCTTCCCCAAGTAAGCATCCGAACACCTGACCCTTTCCTCATTCTCTTGATTGAGTAGAATACCATCTACGGAGATGAACCAGCTACGGAGATGACTTGGTCATCCTCGACGATAGCCTGGTACTTCTCGCCAAGAGCCTTGACGCTGTTGACGACCTTGGTGGGTGCAGTGGCAGCAAAGCCCTTGATCAGGCTCTTGTACTCATGAGTAATGACGCCGCCCTGATGTTCGTCAGTTTATATTCTTGAGGCAAGGCAACGAAGGGTGCAGCAACTACTTACAGCTTCCTTGATGACAGCCATTGCATGTTCGATCACAGAGTCGGGAGTGTCCTTGGGGTAGCTGACGATAATCTGCTTGTTGTCGGTGGCAGCGTAGGCCAAGGCCATGAGGAATGCGATCAGCAGGAGGTGGAAGGTGAACTTCATATTGGTTGATTGATTGTATTTGGTATGGTTCTTAGTATTATTTTTGGTAGTGGTATGATTCAAGATGGTCGATCGATGGCAGGGCTGGCGGGGGACTTTATGTACAATGCAGTTGCCTAGGTATGCTGTCATCGGCGTCGCCAAGGCGATGCGAGAGTTTCGGCTTTTGCCAAGACGCGAACGAAGCCAGACGGTGGTGCTCTTTGAACCGCGTACGACAATGAACAACCTACGACGGACGTCTCAAACCCACCACCTTCACTTGCGCCGAGCTTCTTCACTGCTCTCCCTCCTTCTCAACTTGCGACCTCTTCTACGGGCGACTATCGACTGTTACCAAATACACGCGCCCGCTCGACCGACGTGCTTCTCGACAGTCACCACCAACCTCCGTGATACACCACCTGTGATAAAACGCCTGTCCGCGAAGAGAAACACAAGAGCACAACCAGAAAGAGCAAGAACAAAGAAAGCCACCCTACGACTTGCTGCTGCAGATTGTGAGCACGAGCAGAAAAAACAAGGCTTTGGGGTGATAGTGGAGGATTCTTCACAGCGTCTTTGCAGAAGAGCAGGAGCCGGCCCTTCACGCATCTATTGAGAGCAGTGGGCTGCTTATTGTGGGCGGGAGGAGACAATAGCTAGTATTGATCCATCACACTCTTCTGATTTCACGCCTTTTGGTGAAGCAAGTGTTCGCTTGCTGCTTGCCATCTACTCACCTCTTGTGGTTGTTCAATCCGACCGAAGGGCTCTGCATCTTCTTCTTGTCTACGGACCGGATAGCGCGTTGACTGTCTCTTTCTTGAGCCACTTTCGAAGGAAGCTATCCGTGACTCGTAGTCTTCTCTTTTCTCTTCTTTTTTCTACTACTGCAAATAATACCTTGCCTTGAAGAATCATGTCTGCCGACCAAATCTCCGACGAGGTCGCTCTGGACTTCCAGGAATCTCTGCAAGACCTCCAGAACAACAACAGATATGAGATTAGCAACCTGACCATCATCGCCAAGGAGAACACCGAACACGCCCAGGCTATAGCTATGGTTCTGGAAAAGCACATCAAGACGGTAAGACCCAAAAATAAAAACAAGATTTGGTCTTTTCTTTGTTCCCATGACAGAGCCTACGATCATGGGAGAGTTCGTGACTGACCTGACTGCAGNACTGCCCCTGGACGCAAGCTGCCTGCGCTTTATGTACTGGACTCAATTGTGAAGAACGTTGGCACCCCGTACACAGTTTACCTTGGAAGAAATCTTTTCTCTACCTTCATGGACTCGTACACTCTTGTAGATAGCCAGACAAGAAAAAGCATGGAAGCCATGTTGAAGACCTGGAAGGAACCGGTACCTGGCTCTATGGACCCAAGGCCAGTCTTTCCTGCAGAAGTCACGCGCACCATCGAGAATGCGCTCATCAAGGCAAGAACGGCCGCAGTGCAACTGCAAACCAGAAACCGCACTCCTCTCAATCTGCCTGGACGACCCATGTCGACAAATTATAGAAACACGCCTACCCCACCGCACAACGCCAACCAGTTCCAGCCGCCTCCACAAGATTCGTATCAGAATGGATACCGAAGCCAACAGGTATCTATCATCCCAATTTTATCATCATCCAACACGACTAACATGCTNCAAGCCAACCCCCAACAATTCTTATCAAACCAGCTACCTCCTGATATCGCGCGTTCACTGTCAGCTGTACTCAACCCTCAGGATGATCTCAATAAGCTGAAGGCCGATATCCATGGCTTGATCGCAGGTTTCCAGACCGAGTTTGCGCGCAACCCATACGATTCGCAGGTGCAGACCAAGCTCAAGGCTCTCCTCGACCTCCAAGCCGTTGTGCAAACCCAACAATTGAATGCCGATGCCATTAGCATGATCAAGAAGCAGGTGGCACAGTTACAAGCGGTGCAATCACAGCCCAACCCTCCTCCTTCCGCCGCGCCTCAACAATCGCAGTGGCAAGCTCCTACTCCTGTCAATCTTCCATTCCAACCTCCGCCACCTGTTCCTCGGGGCTTTGCACCTACTCCTTCAGCACAGCCACCCGTCGCCCCTCCTGCATTCGCTCCAGGTATTCTTGAGCAGCTTTTGGCATCCACTGCGAATGGACAGAAGCCAAGCACGCCAGTCGTCCAGGCTGCCTTGAAGTCGATGCCCCCACCGCCCCCTGCCACACAGTCACCTCGTACGGCCGCCGCACTCCCTGCTGGACCCATCGGCAACCCTCTTCTCGATGCTCTCCGTGCTGCAAACATATTACCNTGCGTCGGCCAGTGCTACTCCTGTATCTGCATCAGGTCCTCCCCTCCTCCACCAACAGCCCCTGCCCCTGCACTGTCAATCCTCCAACAGCTTCAAGGTCTTGCGCCAAAGTTGAGCGCTACACCTATGCCACCTCCGGGTACACCTGCCAAAGTCCGCATTCCCATGAACGCCGCGGCCTTGAAGAGGTATGTATATCCATATGTTGCTACTCTGAACTATCGGACTAACTCCACCCCCAGCTTCCGTCCAGAAGTCGTACACACCCTTTACGACGCACAGCCCAACCAATGCACAACCTGCGGTCGCCGCTTCTTATCCACCGATGAAGGTCGTGCCCAGAAGGCTCGCCACCTCGACTGGCATTTCCGCAGCAATCAGCGTATTGCCGACGCAGCTCTTGCTGCTGGCCTCACTCGCAGCTGGTATATCGATGAGATGGAATGGATCCGCCTGCGCGAAGTGGACGCCTCGTCAGCCGCCGTCGACACAAATTCAACCGCCGCAACTGCTTCAAAGCCTGTCAGTGTGCGTGAGAGATATATCCCCGCACCCACCGGAGCTGCAGCAAACGCTACTTGCCCGATTTGTCAAGAAAAATTCGAGCCCGAGTGGCACGAAGATGCACAGGAGTGGGTGTGGATGGACGCCGTCAAGGTTGGAGGTCGCGTGTTCCATGCTTCGTGTCACGATGAGGTCAAGAGAGCTAGTGGAGGCGACAGAGGCAGAAGCACTACTCCTGATGCCGGTGTGCTTGGAAAACGAAAGGCCGAGGCCGATTTGGCAAACTTGAGGAACAAGCTGAAGAGGGAGGTCGCTGCTTGAGCTATGCAACTTATATAGACTCTGTTGCTGGTAATGCAATTTGCAAACAAGCCACATTCGACATTGCCACCATCCTTCTTGTGTCTTCACGTATCTTTTATTGCTTCGATGGTGGCATGTCAAGTTGATGTACAGCGAGGGCAAAAAAAAACATGAAAGGCAGCGAGTTGAGATTCGAACTCACGCCTTTCCAGCTCTGATGAGGATTGCCAGTACTGGTTAAATGCCAATTTATCACCGTCATGCTTGTGTTTGTAGGACATATCTGTGTAAACGTCTTGACCACTAGACCATCGTTGCTGATGTTGGGGGAAAAAAAGCAAAAGTTGAGAGGCCTATGTATGCCAGTGGGAGTCTGGAGAAAAGAAGAGGCAAAAGACGTACAGACTTGCATGTGCACTGACTAGCATGTGAAAAAGCGTTCTCCCCAAAATGCAAACAATCATCACATAGAAATGTAAGATTCAGTCGATTTACTCTACATGTCCTAGGAGATGCGACAATATTCTATGCCAGGGTTGCGCCTGCAACTATGCTACCAAACACTTTCTGGCCCTTCACTCGTCTCCTGGTAGATCTTGTGTCCCTGAACTCTCGGAGGTAGGACATGAAGTATCATTTAGTATGTACTGAAAGTTATATGTGCTTGAACATCGTTGTTGTGAAGATTTTGGTCAATTCATCTTTAAGACTGCTCTCAAATTAAGCATTACCACAGATCCGTGTGTCTCGGCTGGCATCTGCAGCCTTCAGTGATCTTCATCCCATTTTTGAAAGATCCGTAAGGTCGGTTAAAGACATTGTGTTCGATTCATCTCTTGAAGAATTTGTAGTCAAATAATAGTTGACATGCTCTTTATATTGCACCCCCCCCCAATCAAACGCCCTAAATCTTGCGAGCCACAGCACGAAGCCTAACATAATTGAGGAATTGACTGCCATCTTCTTCTCTCGTCACCACAGTCTCCAAGATATCACAGACTTGCTTGACGACATCTGCCCGCTTGCTCTCCTCAACCACATTCAACATCTCCGCACCCATCAACTTGACCCACCCCTCCAAACCACCAGACCCGTCGGCAGATTTGGCAGTACATTTTGTAGGTCTATACTCCAATTCACATTTTTCGACTTCAAAGCCAGATTGTTGCAATTGCTGGGTCATCCACACGTCGCTGGGGAAGAACCAAGGACAGGCCTCTCTGGCAGTGGAAAGAGCGATCCCGTTTGCGACGAGAACGGAAAGAATGGTGGCGTGAACAGCTTCCACGTTGCCTTTCCCTCCCATCTCAAACACAAACACACCGCCTGGTTTTAGGGCCGAGTGAATGTCCTTGAATACCGCATCTCTGGTGCTCGGTTCGCGTAGGATCCAGTGTAGCGCGGCGTTGCTAAACACTTTGTCCCAACTGCCGTCTACCGCTTCAGCACACTGCGCAATACGACGGCAATCTTGAAGTTTGAAAGTGCAATTTTGGCTCGAGTGTTTCTCTTGGGCGGTTTGGATGAAGGAAGCCGAGGCGTCGAGACCGAATATCTGGCCTTGAGATAGAGAGGCAGCGATCTGGGCAGTCAAGGNGCCATCGCCGCAGCCAATGTCGAGGATCTTGTCGGTTGGCTTTGGCGAGAGGTAGGAGAGTACGGTGGTTGTGAGCTTTGGGACGAAGCCTGCAGCTTTTGAGTAGGTCTGTATTTGTCAAACACTGGACATATAATATGCTCTCTGCACTTGAGCGTGGTACTAGGCATCATGTATCTATCATTATTTCTGTCGTTTATACCCATGTACACCTTGAAACATGGACATATATAGATCAACGTACCTCAGAGGACCACTTATCATTAGACTGACTCATCTTGTGATGTTTGTACGGGATTACGGAATGAAAGAGCTGAGATGTCCATAGTGATATACCAACCTCATGGATGTAGATGCGGAGGTGAGCATGTGTTGCGACATCGNGGCGTCAACGCCGCAATCGGCCTTCACCTATCAACCACTCAGATTGCTGGCAAGACAAACGCATTCAGTCGCTCAATAATAAGCCGAGTTACCATTAGCCAAGTTTTTCCGTTTCATCAGCTCACCAAGAGGCACATCGTCCTCATCGTAAAACTCGACGTCCTCGTCAACGCCAAAGTCGTCCAATCTCTCGCCCTCCGAGTTTCGCCAGCCTTCTTCACCTTCTCCTGGTTTTGGTTGCCATTCATATGCCTCTTGATCTTGTTCCTCGCCGTCTGATCCGTAGTCAGTGCCATAAGCATAGTCTTCGTCGTCATGTCTACGAATGTTGTTCTTGTCATGCCGCACATGGAAGGGATGCCTGCGTCGAAGCTCGGAAGTATCTGCGATGGGAGAAGGTCGCATGCGGTCAGCCTGCTGCCTCTTGTATACCTCGTCCGGATCCATAGAATGAGTGAAAGCGTTCGCTGGATCGAAAGCTCTTTCTTTAGGTGCCATGCGGAACATTCGATCCGGGTCTGGTGGCGGCCATGTAGTACCCGGAGNCTGCATATTATTAGCGAAGAACCAAACACGTACCCACATACACATACCTTCAAGACCATTGTCTTCGAATTCCAGTCCACTCTCCACGGAAGGGGTGAAAGAAAAAGGCCAGAACCAGGCAAGAGGATTCCAGCTACCCATGCCTTGAGCAATATTCGAAAAGATTCCAATATCCCATGGATACTCCTGCCTGGTGATGCGTACCTTCGCTCCATTAGGGCCTTCGAGGACTCCACCAAGGTATCTTGCACGGCGAAGCAATGTCTCGTGTCTCTCAATCTCCCAACCCTCGATAGTGGTTGTATTTGCGCCTAGGCACCATAGTGTGCGAGCAAGCAAGATGAACAGTGCAAACACAACCACGGAGTTCAAGGCAGTGATGAGGAAGAGACCAAACAACAAAGCCGGACTTGGGCCAAAATACTAGACAATAATGAGTCGACGCCAGACGTTGCAAAAGAGATTCACGTACACNNTCGGGAGATCTCTCTGCGTCCACAAGTGGTACATCCGAGACCATAGGATACATCCAAGATGCGACATGCCAGCAACGGCATAGAACAAGAAGCGAACAAAGTGCGGAAAGGTAGTGTGCGAAACGCAATTGGCTGTCCAAGGGCTAAAGGGTGAGAATGATGCTGGTTTGGAGACTAGGATGAGACCTACCAGTGGTGGNNTCCATCTTGGGGATGCACCTTGTATTGTCAGATTTGAGACCAGATATATCAGACTTCAAGAAGCGACAAACCTCTCACATGTCTTGCAGTGATGAGCCCGTGGTGGTTTGTAAGCCTGGCATTTACGGCACCATCTTTGGCGTTGAGTGTCCTTCTCTTTGACCAGTTGGCTCTGCTTGGGCGCCCATTCTTTCGGAATTCTACCCGGGTCTGTGAAACATGCCTTGTAGTAGCAAAAGAGGATCACCAAGGCATATACATGGAGTATGATGGATTGCTGTTTGGTCAGGGGTTGGGGCCCGAGGTGACGAAGCAACCACAGCGACGGATATGCTATGATGCAGATGAGAAAGATGACTGCAGGTATTGCACACTGCTGTATGGTGAATGGCATGCCGAGTGGTCGCTCTCGCAACAAGACTTGTCGATGCGAGGAGCTTTAGCGAAGAAAGTCAAGACGCAGTGATCGGAGCGATCAATTACGCGGCCCCAGCCTCTCCCGCACGCGCCCGGGGAGACAACAGAATAAGGAAGTTGCTGTTTTTGTTTCGAAGAACCTACCCAGCAACAAGTGCTGTGGACACTCGGATCCGAGAAAGATTAACGATATGCAGCTGTGTAAGAGAGCCATTTTACCCCAATCTGACCTTCGTGGTTCTTGCGTGTCAGGGGAAAGGTATCTATTCCGTCACCCCGTTCCAGCAGTTCTAGAACATGTTCGGCCGAGGATCAAGTGGGACGATCGGTCAAAGCGTCAAGCCTCCAGGAACTGTTGTATGCGAGAAAGGATTGCCTTTTCACAGTAGTTTTCTGCGCTCGAGGTTCATGAAGGCGCCTCTTTGAACGAAATCTAAACAAGTGCAGACGCAGGATTATATACCCAGATTGGCGCGACAGCAGAGTGGACTGCAAAGCATTGTCTGTTGCATTCCTGAGCTGTACAAGGTTTCGAAACGTCAGCAGTCGGGAGTATTGAAGCTAGATAGCGGCGCACGTCTAACGTACCTATCGTCCAGCACTCGAGCAGGAGGTTTGACAGCCACTTAGCCGGCGACTCCCGCGCTCGACTGTTCGCATTTTCAGCGCGCATACCATTGTCCAATCCACGTCCGGACTCTGTACCGCTCCCCCGCCCTTCATCGACTCGTTCGGCAGCCAGGCAATGCGCGCGCCATAGCGTCGCAACCACCTCGAACAAGATGGCTTCAGACGCACCACGAAACCCAGGACAGCCGTCTCCCTCGCCCAGACAGAGGACCAACATGAGGTTGGATGACCTCTCGGCTGCCAGCACCGGTGGCTACTTCGACCTTTCCAATGCCTGCGACGAGGGCTACCGAGACCACTCGCCCTCATCGCCCCTGTCCATCCGAATCCCCTCGGGCCCCAGCATGACCGATACCGCCTTTACCGCCCTGCAGTACCTCCCCATGCCCGTCTTGGTCCTCTCGAGCGAAAAGACGGTTGTGCTTGCCAACGAGGCCCTGGGCAGACTGCTCGGAATAGACTTGCAGCAGCAGACTGTACCAGAACATGCTGGAGCCAACGACCAAGAGGATTTTAGAAGTGCCAGCGATGTCTTGGGCGGTGTGCCCATGGACAGCCTGGGAATGGATCTTCTGCAGAACGCGAACCCTGTGTGGATGCGCTGGGAGGACTTTCTCAATTCCATCAAACAAGATGCCATCGATGCCAGTGCCCAGTCAGAAGCCAAGTCTGACGGCGGTGACATTACACCCACTGCCGAGACGTACGACAATGCCGCTCTGCAATCGAATCCCGCTCCACTGACGCGCGCAAACCTCGCCCGCACCACTGTGCACGACGCTGCTGTCGATGTCGTCTTTTCCACCAATCGCAACCCCGTCACAGGTCTCCCGCGAACCAAGGAGGTCAACCACGATGCCTCTGGCCACATCCAGGCCACTGTCATCATCACCGTCTGGTCTGTTGACGATGTAGATTATTATACCTTGGTCTTCACCTCTGCAGCCGAAACACAATCTTCTTCCTCTCGCTCGAGCCATCGTACTGTTGCGAGAACTCAAACTACCTTCTCCTCTGGACTTGGTTCCGGATCAAGCTCTAGCTCGAGCGGCCGCCGCACCCAACATCAACACCGTACAAGCCTCTCTGGCAGTCCCTCTGTCTTCGCTCCCTCGGCTCTGCCCAGTGGTCCTCCTTCTCTTACCACATCTGCTGCTGCGCCTTCTCTATTCTCCAAATCCAATCGCTTGAAAGATGCTCTATTGAATTCGCTGAGTGACCCGGCGTTTGCCATGTGGAAGGATGAGTCCTTTGGTATTCCCAATAAAGCCGCCATAAAAATGGTTTACCCGGATAACGATGAAGGAGTTACTGGAGTCCGAGACCAACGCGATTTCCTCTCAAGTTATGTTCTATGGAAGGAAGATTTCTCCGAGTTGCTACCTATGAGCGAGTTCCCTATCATGCATCTCATGACGACAGAAAAGCGATTCTCCAACAGACGTCTAGGCATGCATCATCCTAGAACCGGAGCAAGAATAATTTACGACGTCGATGGCGAAACCATCACTGATAACAAGACTGGCGAATTCCTTGGTGGTCTTGTCATCTTCCACGATGTCACTGAATATGCCAATACCATCACCGCTCAGAAGGTCCAGAACGAACGTCAGTTTGAAGACATAACCAACATGATCCCACAAATGATCTGGACAACAACCCCAACCGGCCAGCACGATTACTATTCGAGAAGATGGTACGAATACACAGGTCTCACGGTTGAGCAAAGTCTGGGCAACGGATGGGAGAACCCCTTTCACCCGGATGACATGGAGTTGACAGGCAAGAGATGGGCTCACAGTCTAGCAACCGGCGAGGAGTACAGAACAGAGTACAGATGCCTTTCCACCGACGGCGAGTGGCGCTGGATGCTAGGTCGAGCTGTGCCTATGAAGGACGACGACGGCAAGATTGTCAAATGGTGAGCACCTCCTTCATTCCATCTCTTATTATGTTATATCCAGCTAACGATGTTCAGGTTCGGCACCTGTACCGACATCCATGAGTTGGTCCTTGCTCGTGAGGACGCACGACAGACAAAACTTCGACTTTCTCAAGTCATCGAAATGGCCAAGATCACGTTATGGTCGGTGAATCCCGAGCGTCAACTATCCATGCTTGAAGGCGCCATCGTTTGGAACGACAGCTCTAAACTCTCTGATGACGAGGTTCGAAAACAGGCTCTCGGCAAGAATGTGTTCGAGATGTTCCACAAAGAAGCCATCCTGGACGGGGACCATCACAGGGAATACATTGAAAACATCCTCACTGGTAAAAACATCGACGAGACCACTGAACTACATGTGAAAGAGACCAATAGATGGATTCGCACCAGGTTTGTTCCGCTTCAACGCCTGGAACGCAATGCTGGCGTTGAAGGTGATGCTTTCGTGGATGGTGTCGTTGCTGTCAGTATGGACGTGACAGACTTGAGAAAGAGAGAAGAACAACTTCGAGAACGTGACCGAGAAAACTCACGTTTGCTGGCTCAAAGTGAGGCTGCGAAGGAAGCGAGCAAGATGAAATCGCAGTTCCTGGGTAAGACTTAGAATCCATTTCGGGATAGTTGTTCGGATTTGAGCTAACATTTACCAGCCAATATGTCGCACGAGATTCGTACCCCGATCGCGGGTGTCATTGGCATGTCTGAACTCTTACTGGACGATACTGAAGGTACTCTGACCGAGGAACAACGCGAATGCGCCGAAAACCTACAACGATCTGCTAATGGTCTACTTACTGTGATCAACGATATCCTGGACTTCTCTAAGGTTGAGAGTGGCCGTCTGGATATTGAGGATGTTCAGTTCGACCTGAACATTGTTGTCCGCGATGTCAACAAAATGCTCACGTTTGCGGCTGAGCGCAAGGGATTGATGTACATTGACGAGACTCAGGAGCTCGAACGTCTGAAGGTCATGGGCGATCCAGGCCGACTGAGACAGATCTTGACGAATCTCCTGACCAACTCAATCAAATTCACCTCTGAAGGCAGTGTTAAGATGCAGGTCAAGATCAGAGAGGAAACTGCAGAGACTGTCGCTGTACAATTCACAGTCGAAGATACTGGTATCGGAATCGAAGAGGAGGTCAGGAAAAGACTCTTCCAGCCTTTCTCTCAAGCCGATTCTAGCACCGCCAGGCGATTTGGTGGAACTGGTCTTGGTTTGACCATTAGCAAGAACGTAAGTGGCACTTACGAGAGATCATCAATATTCGTTTACTGACTGTGACAGTTGGTTGAGCTCATGCATGGTGAAATCTCACTCGAATCCTCCTTAGGACTCGGCACCAAGGCGTCATTCTGGATTCCCTTCAACAAGGCACCATATCTCTCGGGTGACTCGCCACCACTGGACATGGGCCCGATTCCACACCGACTACAGTCTGAGCTTTCACTCTCTGAGTATAGCGGACCACAGCCACCAGGCTCGCCTCTAAAACCAGGTATCCGTCAAGCATCATTCGATTCGCGACGAGGTTCTCCAGCTCAGCTTGACTTGCCTCTGGCGCTCTCGGACGAGGAGAGGCGGAATACACACGTACTCGTTGTTGAAGGTTGGTGACGTGCTTGCGATTTGTCCAACAGAACACTGACTAACCTTGCTCANGACAACCCCATCAATCAACAAATTGCCCTGAAGACGATTAAGAAACTCAAATTCTCGGTCAATGCTGTATGGAACGGACAAGAAGCACTCGATTATCTCAGCAAGCCAGAAAGCCCTGAGCGTCCAAGGCCAGATGTTATTCTTATGGATGTACAAATGCCTGTAATGGACGGCTACAAAGCGACGTACACCATCCGACATTGCGAGCCGTTCGTTGCCGACCAGCAGATTCAAAACACGCCTATTGTTGCAATGACTGCCAGTGCTATTCAAGGCGATCGAGAGAAGTGCGAGAACGCTGGAATGAACGACTATCTGGCAAAGCCTGTGAAAGGCAAGACTTTGGAGCAGATGTTACTCAAATGGGCCGTTGAAAAGAAGCGCAAGGCGGCCTTGNNTCATCAAGCCCCGCTGTTTTCTCCGAGAGCGGTGGAGGTTCCTCCACCTCGACTCCCAACATCAGTCCCGTCAAGGGATACTGTACAGGAGGAGCTGAGGACGCCAGTCGATCTGCTTACACCTACATCGGGCCCAGATGTTCTTGCAACAAAGCTCAACAAACTCAACTTCCAGAACGATACAGTCTTTGCACGTTCTGCAGAGACCGCAGAAAGTCGTTCGATGGACCGCTTACGGAACGAAGAGAAGGCGATGCAGCTGCGTGACCAGCAGTTATTTGCTAGCGCAGCCACGCCCAANAAACTCCTAGGTGTGCTGGGAGAGACAGCAACAACAA